GCGGCGGAAGCCGGGTCTGCAACGAGTCGGACAGCGTGGTCGGACAGGGCATACAGCCGTTTCCGCGGGAGAGGCACAGATGACATCTTTCGACTTGTCAGAATCCCACCGCATTGCGGTGTTGTGCTTTGACTGCAAGTCTCCGCTTCCGTGCCTCGTCAGCAAGAGTGAGTGAGACAGAGGTACAGGTAGGATGGAGGAGAGCGAGGATCCTTGCTGGAGAAGGCTATATGTTGAGCCACGATTCATACTGTTCGCCTGCAGGCGCACTCCTTCTTCCACCATATCTTCACACTCCCTTGTCACAAGCGTTGCGTCTCATGAGTCTGACTGATACCACGACGGCGAGTCTTAATTTTCAGCAACTGCTAGACACCCCGAGATAACCAGGGCCTGGGCTCGCTTGTAAAAGCACAGTCATGAGAAAACACGGCGATGAACACTCGCACGTGAACAAGAAAGATGTTTAATGAGCCGCAACGGGGTCGCCACGATCCGGTTAATGAAAGGGTGAAGTGACCAAGAGTACTACCTAGAAATAGCATCAGGAAAGTCACAGGGGTTGATTGAGTTTGGTAAGGTGGGGTTTCTCTTCAGACTAAGCATTTATGACTGTTTGGAAGGTGCGCACAGACGGTATCAAATGGAAAAGGCAGAGGGCAGTTTTGCCTCGAGGTCATTCCTTCCCGAATGTTTGGTCTTGTCCGATTCAGACTGGAAATGACAAATGAAAAGAAAGTTTTGTTCTGAGAAGGGACGATCAAGGGACTAGCAGACTTCTGGCTTTGAGATCCCCTCTTTTGTCTCTGAAATGAAATCTCTTCTTTCATCAACGCTCGTCGAGTGTCTCCAGCAGCTCCGGACGTTCCACTTGACAACCTCGAATTTCAAGTTGATTCCCCCATAAACCGACACTGTGACCATCGCGAACTGAACCTCTGATACCCAACCATTCTTCTCGTTACTTCCGACTACCATGCTCTTCTCGAGTTGGAGTCTTCAGTCAGGCCTCGGTCATTTTTATCGCAGGGATCCAACATCACCACCATTCAATTACACAGCCGAACGTCCAGCTTGACTGAATGGCGCCTCATGCGACGAACCGAGACCGTGCGCATAAAAACGTGCGTGGGTGAGAGTGGAAGCTGATCATCTTCAAAGAATATTCGATGGCCCTTGGGAACTAGTTCATGTTTGTTTGTTTGTTTGTTTCAGGCTGGGGCATTCCATGATTCCCATTCCCCCTTTTAATTTGTTTACTTGGCTCGCTAAGATCCTTGAGGAAGGCTTCCAGATGTTCTGCATCCGTGTGCATTCATGCGCAGGTCGTCGATGAAACAGCTGTAACGCGTTTTTATTCACTCACTCTACCAACACAACGACAAATTGGACGTTTATTCTAGTCGACAGTCATCTTAAGCCTCGCAAAGAGTCAGGACCCTGACGAGCCCATCTGAACTAGAGGCATGTAAACAACACAGGGCATTGTTTATGCGAGCCCACCTCAGGCTGCTACTGCTACTCTATCGTCTTATTACCATTTCGTGTTTGTTCCCCTGAGTTGACGCACCGTATACCGTGTGGTGCAACTCCACCATCCCTCCCAACAACTTCACCAAGATAAAGCGTGAAGCTAACTTTCGACTCTGCAGTGAACTGCTTTGGGATACAAATCCGAGGATCAACACCAACACCCTCTTCGTCTGTCTGTACTGGTACACCGAGCAGGGGTAGATACCAGACCGTCCGTCACAGTCTTCGAGCCGGAGGTTGAGTCCTTGTCATGCCGTTATCACAACCAGAAGATTTCAAAGACGGCAAGTTTGGTAACCGCCGGGAATGGGACTTTCCCACCCCGTACTTTCGTCAAGGCAATCTGAGATCTTGTCTAGAGGCAGCGTTACTCTGCTTGTGAGGCAGCTTCTCTGTGCAAAGAGGCCCCCTCACTTCAGCAATCGATGGCCCCCTGGAGGGACCAGACGTGGGCACATGGTATCGAGAATGGTTGCATTAAATCATCCTGTCAGCGTCACTATCAAATGGCCACACGGGTACCCAACGGCATTGACAAAGGTGCGGGGTTTGGGGCCCCGGGCGGTTATCGAGAGACATGGGCTCATGAATTCTCGTGGCTCACCATCCCGATGTTATTTTTGGTCATGTGTGCAGTCACGGCCTCAACCATTCAGCAATGGAGGACCCGAGAGGAGAATGGATTCAAGGCGTACCGCATCTGGGGCCACCACCAAAGCCCAACATTGGTACCGATATGATGCTCACATGGCTAAGGATGACTAGAGAAGCATCGCCACTCAATGGATCATTCCTGCCTTACCATGGCCACCAACGAACCAGGTAACCCACTCTGTCCTGCTTGAACATTGGGTATGCCATACGATGTGCTTTCCCAAAACAGTAGAACATGGCGAGGGAGGGACGGCCATTCCTCGTGGACTAGGCTATATGTGACTGCGATATGGGATCCCAGGACCTACTCGAAGTGACTACATCTACATGACTGGTGGGCGTGGCAGAAAGTCTAGCGTTAATCAAGTAAGATACGGATCACCGAGAGGCAGTGTCTCGGATAACATGACACCCTCTTACAGCAGCACAAGCTTATCCCGGAGCCAATAAACGACAGAGCTCGCCAGTCATTATTACATGCTCGGAGACTCGGAACGAGGAAGCGGCACCCAGAGACGGAGAAACTCGGGGCGTCTTGCTCATGTGGGAAATTTGGCAGAGACTGGAGACATGGCAGTGAATGCTCGCATCACGATGATGCTTGGACGTGGCCAGTCATTGTCTGTCCCTCAATACTTCCCTATTCCTCATCACTTCCGTCTGTGGTACATATATTATCTGGTCGTAAGCACTTTCCTTGATTCAAGCAGCGGAACAGTGGCCCGACACAGTACTTGCTCATGTGGGCTACACCCGTCCCGTTACCGGCTTTCCGTACTTTCATATGGGCTGACCTGACTACCTGTAGACAGGCACAAGCCTCGCAGCTCTGTGGCAACCATCACTCATTTCCACTAATCTACCTCCCCTGTTGACCACCTAAAGGTTGAGTAACGGCGGAATGCCAAACCAATTTGAGTGAGGCACGTGGTAGCAAAGGCGATGATGAATGAAAAGAAAGACCAACAAAAAAAGGAAAAAAAAAAAAAAAAATCAAAAAAATTAATTCTACAAAGCCACTAAACTCCTTTCCTTTCTCCTCGGGAGCGATGACGGAGGCACGTGTCGACATCCGGTAACCCAAGCCTTGCTCGAAGAAACCGCGACGCGCAACCGACTCGAACGCGGGACCTCTTCGTGGACCGGGGGTGGTACGGCGCACTGAAGAGACCCTAAATGGGACCAGTTGAGTTATTCTGGTCTCGTGGAGATCCTGCTAACTCGGTCTGGATTGGTCCTTTATCAATGACAAGTGCGCCGAGGCTCAGGCGGCAGGCGGTTGGTCCAGTTGGAGATTTCATCCGATGCCCTGGTGTTTGCACCCGTGAAGGAGGATGAACCTGAGTGGAAGGCACGGGGTGGACTGTGCGGTATGGTAGGTAGGTAGTGTGGTTGATGGTCTCAGCTGCAATGACTGTACGTAAGTAGTGAGTCTAAGGTTCACCAAGTAGGCCGCAGGCAAAGATACCACAAGGCTTCCTTGTAACTCATATCTTCCATTATGCTCATCATAATCAGAGCTGTCAGACATCTTCTACATTATCCTCACGTTCATCCTCGACACTTATATAGATCCTTCTTACAAGCACAACCTCCGTCATCATCATCATCATCATCATCATCATCATCATCATCATCAACTTCAGTTCTGCCTCAAAAAAAACCAACTTCACACCAGCATCATCACCAGAAACCTCCCCATACCTAAGTTGGCACATCCCCCCGATAACCACACCATCCACCCTACTCGATACACTTCTCCAATCGACCAATCTTATCTACCTCCTCCTCCTCCATCTTCTCCATCTTCTCCCTTGTCTTCCTTGTTGGGTGAACGGATGTACAGCCCCTTTATTTACCAAACACATTCGAAATCCGTTTGGCGGGATCGTGTCCTGCCTGTCTGATACATGATGAACAACATAGGCCAGCGCAGTTTTTTTTAGTTTTTTTTTTTGGGAAGTAAGTCGGATCGCGCGGACTCCGTGGGTGGTGCCGGACGGAACCGGACGGAACCGGGGTGGTTTGAGATTTGGTTGGAGATCTGGTCGAGGGACTTGCCTGACGAGGACTAGGGCTAAAACTAGTTATTTGGGAGAGACCGAGAGAATTGAAGATGGAAATGCGGGAGGGGGGGAGGGGGTTGAGACTGGAGTGAGATTTCGTGGAAGGTCATTTATAGGTGCTTATGGTTCAAGTGCTGATGGTGGTGGGAGGGGGGAGGTTTGATGGGGATGACGGGAGGTACATGTAAATTGGTTTCTTTGGGGGATTGGAGAGAGAGAGAGAAAAGGGGGGGGGGGGGGGGGGGGGGTAAGTGGTTGAGGATTCCTCTTGTTTTGTTTAGGGTGGACGTGATGATGAAATTGAATGATGTTAGATGAAACTGAACTGAACTGAACTAAACTGAACTGAACCATAATTACTTCAAAAACGCAAGGTACCAAAGGTAATGTAGTTTCTTTATATGCGTTTACTTTAGTTGCATATATGTATCTCCGTTCGGATCGGAAGGGAATAGAACGGGAGAGAACAGAACGGCACGGAACGGAATGGCAGGAAGGGGGCAGGAAGGAAAGGGGCGGGAAGCTATGAAAGGCGGGAAAGGTCGTTTACAAAGCCGCCGGCCACACCGTCGGGGACTCAAGAGGTAAGTAAGTTAATGGCTGGTTGTAGGGCCAAAGCCCGCACGGTGTCTTGAGGTGTTGAATCTACCATAGTGTTTGTTAGCAACATGCGCATTTCAAATGTATGATATTACCTCTTCGTCTTAACTATACATGAGACCGGAAGGGACGGACGGATGGATGGATGGATGTCTAAAAGTGTTTTTGTAAAGTGTCTTAACGTGTATCAACGTGTGTCTATGTACGTACGACGGCAGGTCTATGTAATGGATACTAATGCCGATTATGAGGACTTTTGTGCCCTCTCCTCCCCTTTTTGTCTTTAATGTAAACAAGTAAACAAAACCAAACAAATACCCAAACGCCAAACACCAACCCTTATCCTGGGTTACAATGAATCCAAACACCTTTCCTATGATATACTTTTGAATGCTCCTTCAAACACGCCATGCCATGCTCCATCCGTACTTCTCAATAATGCTTCTTTCTCCAACAACGCAATACAACCTAATCATGAAACCCCGACTCGTCCAAATCAGCAACTTTCCAATACTGTCCCAAACACATCAAAACAACTCAATCATCCAACGCCTCTCCACTCAAAATTCCCCTCAAAATCCCCACACCCGCCCCATCATCCTTCAGCAAAGTCTGCTCAACCTCCCTCTCCCCCACACAACTAGCCACCCTCTTCTCATCTCCCGCCACCAGGGCACCTCCCATCCCAAACACATCCTTCTTCTTCTTGCCTCCCCGCTTCGGTGTCCCCACTCCAGGCGAGCTATATCCCAACGCAGTAAACGATCCCGTCTTGCCGTCCACAGGCGTGATCAAACTGAGAGTTTCCAGGGAAGACACAACCTCGCGGAACTCAGATGACGAAAGGGGGTGTAGCAGCGAGTCCTGTTTGCAGAGCTTGGTGTAAGCCTCATAGAGAGTCTTGACTGTCGGAGCAATCGGCGCCTCTTGTCTCCTCGACGGAGTGCCGGTAGTGGATGCAAAACTGGCTGAAGCAGAGTTAAGAGCCTCCGACTGCGCGGCGCGGTTACGTTTCTCGATGGCGACCAGAGCGCACAAAGCGGCTTTTTGCTGGAGGTTGAGCGTCTTGAGACGTTGAGTGGTGCCGTTGCTAAATGCTGCGGCTGTGACTTTGCTGAGGTGGGCGATGCTGACGCGCGGAGCGGTGGCGGGTGTCAAGGCCTGTAGGGATTTAAGTAAAGAGGCCGAGACGCTGGCGCTGGGTCCAGTGGAGATACTCCGGAAGAGGGAGGAAGGCGCAGGAGCCGAGGAGAGGTTGGTGTTTTCGCCTAGGACGCGCTTCTTGGAGGGAGACATCTGTAGCATCTGCTCCTTGACTTCGTTTTCGTGCTTCAGACGGGTCTCGGACTCCACCAGGTCGATGGCGCGGCGGCAAATCTCAAAAGCGCGGCGCAGGTCGCCGGTTTGGCTGGAGACTTTGCGCGAGCAGAGCTCGATGGCGGCTGGGTGGAAGAAGGGGATGTAGTTGGGGTCCTTGGGTGTTCCACCGGGAAGCAGGCTCTTGAGACGTGTGATGATGATGTTCTTGACCTGAGGCGCCGTGTATGGAAGGATGGGCAGAAGCTCAGGCTTGAGGTTGCGCGACTTGAGGCGCGGCAGGAAGCGGTCGGTGAGGTCGAGCGCGTTGGCAATGCCGATCAGGGCGAGGCGCGAGTTCTTCTTTTCGAGTGACCATTCGAAGAGGCTGTAGAGACTTTCAGGGTCGAGGGTGAGGATGTGGTCGATTTCGTCCAACACCACGAGGAAGACGGCCTGGGTCTTTTTCTTGGGCAGGATGAGCTTTTGGAGAGCTGCCACCACGTCGCTTTCGGTTGAGAGTTCCTCCTTGTCTTCATCGTTGCTGACTAGCTGGTCGAAAAGGGTGACGTAGAGATCCTTGGACGACTTGATGCTCATGCAGTTGATGTATGCCTTGCGCACTGTTGATGTCTCGGATGCGAACTTGTCGGTGACCTTGTTGACGATGGCGCTCTTTCCGGTTCCAGGAGGCCCGCTGACGTAGAGGCAGCCGCTGGGATGGGCGGTGGTGCAGCGATCCAGGAAAGTGTTGAGCTTCTCGCGCTCGTCGTCGCGACCAATGAGTTCTCCAGGATCGGCGCTTCGAGAAAAGAGTTGGCGAGCTTGATGGTAGACTGTCTGAGAAGCCGCGGGTGTCATGGGCGTGCTTGGTGTCATGCGCCTGGAGAGCTTGCCGACGGACATGACGCGATGGCGCGGAGTGGTGACTGGTACCCTTGCGAAGACATCGTAGTGTCGTGGTGTGGAAGGTGTGACGGGAGCTGTCTTTGGCGGACTGGCGATGACTGATTTGCGCCTTCTGAGAAGTGACTTGGATGGTGTCTCGGCCTCGATTCTGTCCTCCTCCTCCTCGTCTCCCGTGGGCTTGCGGTTCTCCTTGTGGTTCTCAACGTCTTCGTCGGCAATTGGCTTGGGTGGTGAGGCGGCCTTCTCCTTCTCTGCTTGGATGTGGTCGGGCTCATGGTGGATCTCTGGGTGGATTCGAAGAGAGCGTCTTGTTCGCTTGACGGCAAGAGGGCCGAGTGTGATTTCCTCGTCTTGTGGTCTGTCAGTATGTCGACGGCAACTCTTGGATGTCGTCGTCAGTTGTAGCTCACCTGTGAGTCTAGTGCTCCTTCTCCTCTTTCCCAGAGTCGTAGGCGCGCTAGGCGAGGCCATGGTTTTTTGTCAAGTCAAGAACACCAGTCGCAATGCACAATCACAATTACAAGCGGCAGTCGCGTGGAAAGAACGATGCGCGGATGTTGATGGTGGTGATGGACTTGTGTGGTTGTGTGGTTGTAAGGTGGAAAGAGGAACCTTGAGCAGTCCCAGTCGCACTGCACCAAAGTACATAGAATTCCAGTTCGCGCGCTCCACCCCTGGCACATTCCACATTGCGGAGACGCGACCGCGAATTTGTGGGGCTGCAGCTCGGTGCTCGACGCGGCTTCCCCGCTGCACTGCGCGTTTCAATTAAGCCCCGTTGCGCATGAGCCACACAAGCTGTGGCGGGGGAGGGTTCGTTTTGTGGCGCGTGCCTCGTGTCAAAGCGGGGCCTCTTCCAGATCCGTATCCACTCCCCCGCACTATTTCCACAGTGTCCACAGGGGCATTCCAGGGGAACCCTCCACTGAAGCAGGGAGACCGCCGCCTATGTTTCCCTTTGCTGTGCTGGAAGGTGGCGATCTCCGTCCCGTTGGACCTCCCGAATCGGTATAAGAGAACTACCTAAACCTCCAATACCCGACGCCACTGCCTTTGCTTGTGTTTATCGATAAGTACTATCATGACCGCAAGCAATGACAAGTCATCCACCTCAGTGTCTGATCAGATGTCCATGTCGATAGCCCAGAGATATCACAGAAATATCAAAGTTGGTTGACCGTTTGTCCTTTAATGGACTTGGTGATACTCGAATGTCCTCCAAGATGGGTTCGTTAAACATACAGCACAATGGCTACAATGCCGACGTGGAAAGAATAAGAGATGAAGAGTATCCTATGCTGAAGGGTAGGCCCCTTACAATCATCTCGACACAACTTGACCAGACCACTAACACAGAACAAACAGACTCCATCTACCTCGACCATGCCGGCACCACCCCCTATCCCAAGTCCCTCATGGACCGTTTTGCCCAAGAGATGACCGCCAACCTCTTTGGCAACCCCCACTCCGCCTCAGTTTCCTCCCAACTATCAACTCAGCGCATCCAAGACATCCGTCTCCGAGCCCTGCAGTTCTTCAACGCCGACCCAGCCGACTTTGATCTCGTCTTCGTCGCCAACGCCACAGCCGGTATCAAGCTGGTTGTCGAAGCCATGAGATGTCTGCCCACGGGCTTTGACTATGTCTACCACCAAGCGAGCCACACCAGCCTGGTAGGAGTTCGGGAAGAGGCTAAAAGTAGCGTTTGTCTGGACACTCGACAGATGGAAGACTGGCTATTTGGGAGTTATCCCTTTGACGACTACGAAGACGCAGAAAGACCAATACTCTTCGCCTACCCAGCCCAATCCAACATGGACGGCCGTCGCTTTCCCCTTTCTTCGTCTTCCCAGATTCGTCGCCAGTGTCAATTGCCAACCAACAAACGAAAAGCCTACACCCTCCTAGACGCCGCCGCTCTCGTCTCCTCGTCCCCCTTGGACTTATCCAACGCCCAAACAGCACCTGACTTTGTCGTCCTCTCTTTTTACAAAATCTTTGGCTTTCCCGATCTCGGCGCTTTGCTCGTCCGGAAGGAGGTCCAGGATGTGTTTTCGTCCAGACGGTATTTTGGCGGTGGGACGGTTGATATGGTTGTTTGCCTGAAAGAACAATGGCATGCTCCGAAAGATGGATTTCTCCATGAGAGATTGGAGGATGGGACGTTACCGATACACAGTATCATCGCGTTGGACATCGCTATGGATGTTCATGCCAAGCTCTTTGAGTCGATGGAGCGGGTGGCGGGCCATACGGGATTTTTGGCTAGGCGGCTATATCAGGGGCTGAAGGGGCTAAGGCATGCGAATGATGAAATGGTTTGTGCCATTTACTCCCCCGATCCTGAGACGGAAGACAGCGGACCAGTGGTGGCGTTCAACATCCGAAACGCACAAGGGATATGGATCAGCCTCGCCGAAGTGGAAAAACTGGCGACGCTAAAGGGCATACATATCAGGACCGGAGGCGTGTGTAACCCCGGAGGCATCGCCAGCGCTTTGGGACTGGAGCCATGGGAGATGAAGCAGAACTTTTCTTCGGGGTTTCGATGCGGAATGGACAATGATAACATGGGTGGAAAACCAACTGGAATTATCAGAGTGAGCCTAGGAGCGATGAGCACGATAGCGGACGTGGATCGGTTCGTCCAGTTTGTGGAGGAATTTTACCGCGAGGATACACCACCGACTTTACCTCCACCAGAGACGAAACTTGAACCCTCACTTCGAAACACCTTAGAACTTTATATCAAAAGCATAGTCGTCTACCCCATCAAAAGCTGCGCCGGCTTCCACGTTCCCCCGGGCATCGACTGGGAAGTCCACCCCGAAGGCTTAGCCTGGGACCGCGAATGGTGTTTAGTCCACCGCGGATCAGGCCAAGCACTCAGTCAGAAACGATACGCCCGCATGGCACTTTTACGACCAAACCTAGATTTCACCAGGGGAGAACTGCAAGTTACTTATGCCGGCGACATCTCTTCGTCACCAGGTTTACCATCCTCGATATCGGTCCCCCTGTCCAAAAACCCAAAGATGTACGCCCCCAAAACATCAGGCATGTCCTCCCGCGTCTGCGGCGAGGAAATCACACCCCAAACATACGCTTCAGCACAAATCAACGACTTCTTCTCGACTGTGCTCGGGGTGCCGTGCGTGCTGGCCAGGTTCCCGCCGGGTGGGCAGGGGAAGGGGATGATGAGGCATGCCAAGGCGCATTTACAGCGACATCAGCATCAACAACCACATCCTGCAGTATCCGTACCAACAAGGTTGACAAAACCAGCAATGATGCCAGGCGCTTTCCCTTCACCTGAAGCAGTAGAAACGCCCCCGTCGCCACCGGATTCGGATACCGAAAGGTCAGCGACTCCAACTCAAGAGGCTCAGGGTCCAAAACCACGAAGGATACTGCTATCGAATGAAAGTCCGATTTTGGCGATTACGAGTACCAGCGTCGATGCCTTGAACCAGTCCATCGCTTTATTCAACCCATCGGTATCGCAACCGATTTCGGAAGCGGTGTTTAGAGCTAATCTTGTTTTGTCCCCTTCACCTTCAACCCCTTCCGCTTCACCTTCCAACCCTTTAACCCCTTCGCCTTCCCCTTCCACCACTTCAAAACCAACACCAAAACAAAAACCAAAACCAAAACTAAACCCCTACGAAGAAGATACCTGGTCATCCCTTACCATTTTCAACTCTTCTTCTTCTTCTTCTTCCTCAGGCAACCAAAAAGGAACCAAATCCATAATCAAATTTCAAATGCTAGGCTCCTGCCGACGCTGCCACATGGTCTGCATAGACCAAACCACGGGATCGAAAACCGCAGGAGGCGAACCCTTTGTGACACTAAGTAAGACGAGGAGGTTTGAAGGGAAGGTGTTTTTTGGGGTGCACATGGGGTTGCAGCAGCAGCAGCATGAGGAGGAGGAGGATGAGCATGCTGAATGTATAGAAAGGGGGGGACGGGGACGGGAAGAATGGGAGGAAACGGAAGGGTGATGAAGATTAGGGTGGGGGATGTGGTGAGGCCTTCTTATTTGTGACTGGGATGGATGTTAGAGGTACTTGAGGTATTACTTCACATGAGATCATGATACATCACGAGAATCGTTAAACAAAATGAGGAAACTCTCTCTCTCTTCTCCGGCAGCTTTTATTTACTAACTAACTAACTGACTGACTGACTAACTAACTAACTAACTAACTAACTGACTCACTGACTGACCAACTAACTAACTGCTCAACTCAACTCAACTCAAGTCATGTAATGTCGCAAACACACAAACACAACTAAGTACCTCCAACTGTCGTAAGATATATATATTCCAAACAAGTGCCTAAATCCTCCACTCTATTTACGTACACATTTTAGTACAGCGTAGGACCATACCAGCTACACAGTCCTCATACAAGTGTAACTCGTCCCGTTAGTTAACTTCTATCAAAGTCGACTGGGATTCTCAATTCATATCTTACCAACCTAACGCCTATCCTACACTTTTTCATTTTAAAAAGTAAAAAAAAAACGCGAGGTCCAAGTCAAGTCTCTCAACAGAGCTCGGTCTTGTCTTGTCTTGTCTTTAGCTTTTCCTTTGTCAAGTTTGTCATGTTATTAGCTGTTATATATATAGGTACTGTTGCTTTGTGTAGGTAGTAACGAGTTTGCTTTATATCTCATTGTTCTCGGGGTCAGCATTACCTACCTTGTGAGGCACCGACGCGAGGCACGTCTTTTGCGTAACGATAATTACCTAGGTAGCAGTGATTTTTTTTTTTTTTTTTCTCTCCTTCTTTTCTATAAAAAAAAAAAAAAAAAAAAAAAAAAAAAAAAGTGACTGAACTTGATAGTCCCAATGGTATGTATGTATTCGTGAAGGAAGGTCCTGCTGCCACTATAAAGCCTCGCCGCGTACTACGTATCTATATGAGGAACGGGATGCGACGGAGTTATATAGGTACGTAATTAGGTAGTGATGATGTAGATAGGTATCATAGAATTTTACGTATCTCCAATTCCTTCAGTGCTCATTCATGTCTTTACTCTCGTTCCAGTTTGAAACCAGTATGTTTTTTTTTTTTTTTTTTTTTTTTGGGTGCAGCAGTTAAACTTGTAACCTACTTGTATGTACATTGAACACACCCACAAACAACCAACTCATCCACACATCCACTCATTATCAAACTACCTATTACATAGAAAAAGTGTATATATACATACTTCTGACGTTCTTTTTTGGATACTTGCCCTCTTTACACCTTGGCATGTTCCTTTTTTCTCTTTCTTCCCTTTTTGGTTTCCCTACGCTACCTACCGACTCTCCCATTCTATGCCCATCCCCTCTAATCTGCCTATGCACTCTTTGTCTCCCCTGTCGTCGCCGACGTCCTCGGCTTCCTCTCCCACCCAGTCTTCAACAACCTCCCCACCTCAAAAACCGGCAACGGATGCGCCTCGGTATTAAATACGACCTTGTCCAGCGGCAACAAATCCTCCGGACTGAACAACAAATAAAAGTACTTGAGCGTCTCCGCCATCCAGAAGCTCTCCATATTATCCTTGATCACAGGCGGTATGACATTGGCATTCGACAAGCTCGTAAACCCGCCGCCATCTTCGACAGCAGTGTAGTTGACAAACGACTTGAACATGTCCCATCCCCACTCGCGGTACTTGACGTCGCCCGTGATGCGGTACATGTAGAAGAGGGACTCGACCGTTTCGGGCCGTTGGAGGTTATGCGCGTCCATTTGGTGGACTTCGTAATCTTTGCGCCAGGTCGCGTCAGGACCGGCGGGGTCATGGAAGATGGAATCGGGTGGGGAAGTGTGCGAGGAGGACTCCGGCAAGGGGTCGGAGGGGATCTTGAAGTAGGTGATTTCTGCGGCGAGACCCGTCGCCATGTACCGGTACATGCCCCAGCACGTCTGCATCAGCTCGCGGGCGAGCTTCATGTCGGCCTCGCGTTGCTTGTTCCAGAAGCCGGGCTTCTTGCGGGCTTCGCGCTCCGAAAGGCCTTCGGTGGCGGCGAGGGCAATGGTTCCCGGGAGGAAGCAGACGAGGTGGTCCATTTTGGGAGACAAGTTGCCCTCGAGACCCGAGGGACGTTCGCCGACAATGGTGAACCCGCTGTTCTCGGTGTAGGTGACGAGGTGCTTGCGGATGCCCTGGAGAGCATCGTTCCACATGTCTTGGTAGATGGGTTCGGCCTTGTGGGTTTGCAGGTACTGCTTGATCAGGTATTCGTAGTAGGAATCGCCGCGCGAGCCGAGCCGGATATTTTGGGTGTGGAAGTGGCCGGTGCTGGGCTGGATGAAGATGGGCACGAGGCCATCGGGGGCTTGGTTGTCGTCTATCACTTTCATGACCTTTTCGGAGCGGTCCCAAAAGTCCTTTTCGCCTGTTAGGTTGGCGAGGTACTTGAATTCGAGCTGGAGGGTGGTGGCTTCGGCGGTGGAAGAGGCACCCATGTCGGCGTGCGAGGGCAGGCCTTGGAATTTACCGAGGTTGACGCTCGCGTAGGGAATGCCAGAGGGCGTATCGAAGGCAGACATGAGGCGGTCGGCGAGGTCGCGGGCCTTTTCGAGGTAAAGGTCCTCACCGGGGGCGCCCACGTCGTCATCGGTGATGGGCGCTAGGTTCGGGTACTCGGTGCTGAGGTAGTAAGCCGACAAGAGACCGCCCATCATGCGGATGGTCGTCTCAAAGGTGTTGACATCTTGATCCTGGTCCCAGGTCAACGACTTGGAGATCCACTCGCGAGCATGAGTAACCCGCGAGGTCAAGTTCATGATCATCAAGGTATCTAACGAATCGATAATGATCCAACCCAAACCCTTGGGGGCCATGTTCCGGCCCGTCTTGGACACGGGGTGAAACTCGTCATAACCTAGTCACAAGTTAGCCTTACCCTCAAGTCACAACACCAACCCTTGTTCAAAAACATACCCCACGCATATCTCTCATAAGCATCCCAACTCAGCTCCATAGCCTCAACCACCCTCTCCCTCCTCTTCAGCCAATCCGCCTTACTCCTCGCCTTTGTATCCGAGCTCAACCACCCCCAATCGCCCAGCTTCTCCCTGGCTCGTTCATGATGCTCATCAAAGAAGCCCGTGAACCACAACAGCCCCAGCACCACCAAGGTGAATAATCCCAACACCCTCTTTTTCCTTAACAGCGGCCTAGGTCTCGCTTCTCCGGGGCCGTACCCATACGGCTTATCCTTGTACATGGGTAACGACCTTCGATCCGGGTTTAGGAATCCTCCCACTTTATCTTGTACTCCCCCAAACACTCCTCCTGCTCCTGCTGCTGGTCCAGCCCGTTGGCGGGTGGCAGCAGCCCAAAGTCGATCTTCAGCTTGGCGCGCCGGGTCCGTAAACGACGGGACGTGTCGTGGGATGGAAAAAGAGGCCATGTCCCCTCCTTGTTCGTATTCTTCTTCTTCTTCTACTTCTGTGTCTTCCTCGTCGTATGTCTCTTCCGCAGCAGCAGCAGCAGCAGCAGCAGCTGGCAGTAAGGTGCCCTGCTCCAAGTCCGACTGTGACTGGCTCTGAAAGGCAGTGTGGTCAAGCGCCCTCTCGACTTCCTTTGCGGCGGCTTCGACGGCGTCGCGGGTGCGTTCAGCGGCCTGCTCCGCGAATTCGGCGGCTTTGGCAGCGGTCTCGACAGCCTGCTGGGCGGCTTTCTCGGCACGGTCGCGGAACTCGGTGGCGGCAGTGGTGGCGGTTGCGCGGAGGATGTTGATGGCGGCAATGGTACCGGGGCGGTTGTGGAGGTTGAATGGATCGCGGACGCGGTTCATTGAGGAGGAGGTACCCTGGAGGGGAACTGAACCGTTGGCGCTATAGTAGTTGGGGCAGTTTCATTGGGGGACGGTACTGTCTTCCTTGGTGTAGCTAGTGCTGTTAGTGCACTTTTGGGCCTTGTGGTGCTGGACTTGAGACAATGGATTGGAATCGCCACGGTACTAGTTCTTGGTCATTAGGTAGGTAGGTAGGTAGGTAAAGGCAGGTATGGATTTAGCAAGAGCTGGCAATTGTAGGTATAGATTGGAATAGATGGAAGGTATTCACATGCGAAAGGGAGCAGCAGTCTCTCCCCCCAACTTTGTATTTGCCAAATTTGAGCGGTCAAGCTGCACAAGGAAGGAGAACTGCGGCGTGGACCTACCTAGCATGGAGCTGTGCTTCCATCCCTTCCATTACACTCTTACTTCCACTTCTGGCAGTGCCTGACATGTCTTTGCACATGTACCTACACCATGCAGAAGTTGTGGTGATTACTTTCATATCAGCCCGAGATAACGAGAATCATGCAAGAAACCAAGAACATTGCTGACCTCTTACACTAACTAGGTACACAGAATGTACACTACGCCAAAAAGGACAGCTTGAGCTTGGACGCGTCAAGTCCATGCCCTTGCGACGTCGTGGGCCCCGCTGTTTGTAGTGTTAAGGGGGCCAGGTTCGCCAGGGTTAAGGGTGTGGTGATCTGTCAGGGTTGGGTGTGTGGTCAATTACTCCCGGCGGTCTCACAAACTTCCATTTCTAACGGTTGGCGGTTATGTATAGAGGTATGTTGCAATGTATGAAGAGTATGTTTTTCGTGTATATGACTATGGATGAAGAGATATTAACCTTCCAAGTTGAAGTGAACGTGAAGAACATGTGAACAACCACAATACCTCTAACTTTGAGTTACAACCCCTTCCTTATCTTATCACCCTCTCCTCCCGTCCCGCTCACTAACACCGTCCGTGACAATTCAGTTCCACATTCGGTAACATCCCAATTTCTCCCCATCCCGTCCTTCAGCACTGCACCACTCAGCAGACCGCCCACCATCTCACCATCTTACAATATCACAACCACCTCACCACCCAAAACACTCTTGATCAAAATGTACTGCCTGGAAATCCAAAACTACCCCCACCTCACCCCCTCCGAATTCGCCGAGGCCGCCCACCACCTCGACCGGCGCTACAGCCAAGCGACCCTCGGCCCGCTCCGGCGCCAATGGAAGCTGCGCGTGCGCTCGGCGCTCAACACCCACTTTGTCTCTCCTTCGGATCCCGAATACAGCACTTTTATCCAAATCACCAGACCGCTCGAGGTCAATCTGGATGATGATGGGTTATCCGAGTTTTTGGATAATTTGAGTTTTCTTGAGGGGCCAGCAGCGGTAAGGGGGGATGAGGGGGAGGGGGAGGGTGTGGTTGGTGTGAGTGAGGGGATGGAGGTTGAGGATGATGATGAGGTATGTTCATGGCCCCGTGTGAAGTGGGGGTGATGGTGGTGGTGGTGGAAGATGCTGATATGTGGTTTACTGGGGGAGAAAAGGCCATGGTTTTGCCTTTTAAACAACAACAACAACAACAACAACAACAGCAAAAGACAAGCTATGGCTACGTCACATACGAAATACACCTTCACCCGACATATCAAGCGCCTTGTCTGTGGTTTTCACTAAACGGACTGCCGGCGGATGAACCAGCCTTCAACATCGACACCATCTTTCGACGGCTTGTACCCGATCAGTTCAAAGATGGACTTCGCCGCGCGGGTTCCGTGGGTGGTGTCTCAGCTGATGTAAGTTTTCTCATCTCATCTCGTGTTTTCGAATTTGTGTGCTTCGAATTTTGGAGTTCAATCTTCTCGCTGTTGAAAACACCAAAAAGTTAACTAGGGCTGAACTCTTTTTTCTCGCTCTTTGTGACTTTGTTGTTGTGAAGCATATGGAATATGAGAAGAAGAAGAGAGAGAAAAAAAAGGTGCCTATACTAACACACGAATGTCCCTTCTTTTGAATTATTTCGGCCAAACAAACAGTATCATCCCATCACAGGCCTTCCCACCTTCTTCGTCCACCCTTGTCTCCTCGGCGAGGCCATGTCGACCTTTGACAATGTCTCGATCGAGAACTACCTGATGGTTTGGCTTGGACTCGTCGGCGGCTGTGTCAGCCTTTGGATCCCCAAGGAAATGGCCTTGGAGCCTTCTTCCGCCTAAAGGAAGTGGGAGTAGCGCGGTGTATGTTGTACATGCAGCTAGCGGTGCGTATTCTGCATTGTCCTTCGAGAGGGCGATTTTTTTTATCCATCCGCTTCATTGCGCCTTCATTTTCGTCATCCTTCCCACCGCGAGCTGGTATCTTGAAACAAAAAGCAAATGCCATAGTGGACACCCATCAATCCTCGTCGCTGTCTTCCTCCATAGCAACGTCCGAATCGCTCTCCTCCTCTTCTTCCTCTTCCTCGCGTGGCCGCTTCGTTCCGCGGTTTTCCTCTGCCGGTGTGGTTGTCTCCGTCCCGGGAGGCTTGGCTGGCGAACCTTGTGGTGCTGGACTCTCGGTATTCGTAGTGGTAGGGGCGCCTGGTACTGGGGCACTGAAGATGCTCTGTTGGACGGTGGTGAGGGCTACGGCGGCGGCGGCCTTGGGTGGCACCAGAGTACCGTCGAGTTTGGCGATGATGTTGGAGCGACCCTTGGCGTAGGTGATTTTCTAGGCAAACCCGAGTTAGCATGTGAAGAGCTACCGCTGAAATATTTATCCCTGAAAAGACGTACCATTTTCCTGCCCAAAAACTCCATGCCGTCAAGTGACCTCATGGCCTGTGTTGCTGTCTGAATGTCCCGGTAGACAATGTGTGCTTGCCCGCGCATCTTCATGGTCTTGAGAGCGACAACATCGAGGACGGGACCGTAGGTGGAGAAGAGCATGTATAGTGCCGTACGGAGGTCGTCCTTCTGGATCTTGGCTGAGGGGAGGTTCGTGACGTAGAGAGTCTGGTTTGGCGGGTTCGAGACCACCTTTTGGGGGAGGCCGGCGGGGGGAGCAATACGCGTAGCCATTGCCGCGTAGGAATTCGGGAGTTGATGTTGTTGGTGTTTGTATAATGCAGGCTGTTAATTGTCGCGTATGTTCTCAGTATATCGTAGACGCCTCGTGGGAGGGGTGAATGTCGTCAATCGTCTCGTCGTCGTCGTCGTCGCTCGGGTGTATGTATGATGTTCGGTGATCAATGAAGAATACGACGTCGACAATTCGGTTGCTGGTCCAAAAATTGGAGACAGCGGGCGGCCAGCCTACGACGGGAACAATCGGTACAAACCCCACGGGCGTGGGTGCAGCTTGTTCCAGTTCCAGGTGGGTCAGCCCCGGCCGGCAGCACGCTTCCACTTGGCGGCGTCACCCACCCGCAGCCAACCCCACTACGCTGCCGCAACGGTGCCCCTGGAGCCTGGCGGTCTGACCTCATTTCAGGCGTCCAGCCCGCTGTAGTTACGTACGGAGCTCTCCCGCTCTCCGTTCCCGGACACAGCTTGCTTCCCCTTTCCACTTCCACTTACAACATCCGGCTCCGACACCAGACATCACTCTCCGTCATCACCGCGCGGTAGTAGAGAGCTATACTCCTATCGCATACCTTGTTTCTACACTCACCAAATCCTTCACAATGGCCGCTCCCGAGGTCCACCATCTCTTCCACCACCCCATCGCCGACCACTCCTTCTCGGCCGATCGCCAGACCTTGGCCATTGCCCGCGACACTCAGGTCGAGCTCTACGGCAGAGTCGGCAATGCCTTCAAGCTCAAGGATGAGCTCAAGGGTCATGACAAGCTTGTCACCAGCGTTGACATTGCCCCCAACACTGGCCGCATTGTGACTTGCTCTCAGGGTAGGCCCCCCTTTCGCAACCCAGGCACCTAACCAAACTAACAACCAACCCCAACTCACAGACCGCAACGCCCTCGTCTGGGAACCCTCCCCCACCGGCTACAAGCCCACCCTCGTGCTCCTCCGCATCTCCCGCGCCGCCACCTTCGTCCGCTGGTCTCCCTCGGAAGCCAAGTTCGCCGTCGGCTCCGGTGACCGCGTCATCGCCATCTGCTACTTTGAGGAAGAAAACGACTGGTGGGTATCCAAGCACCTGAAGAAGCCGATCCGGTCCACCATCACCTCCGTCGCCTGGCACCCCAACAGCGTCCTCCTTGCTGCCGGCTCCACCGACGCCCACGCCCGCGTCTTTTCCGCCTTCATCAAGGGCACCGACCAGCGTCCCGAGCCGAGCCCCTGGGGCGAGAGATTGCCTTTCAACACGGTCTGCGGCGAGTTCCTGAACAACTCTGCCGGATGGGTGCATTCCGTTGCCTTCAGCCCAAGCGGCGACGCTCTGGCGTTTGCGGCGCATGACTCCTCCATCACCGTCGTCTACCCCTCTGCGCCCGAGCAGCCGCCCAAGGCGGTGATCAGCATCAACACGCAGCTTTTGCCCTTCATGAGCCTCTTCTGGAACGGAGAGACCGAGATCATTGCTGCGGGTTACGATTGCGAGGCCTTCCGCTTCCAGGGTGGCGAGCAGGGGTGGCAGCTGGCGGGCACGCTGGAGAAGGCCAAGGCTGGAGGAAGACCGGGTCTTGGTGACGAGGACAGAGAGGAGTCTGCGCTGAACATGTTCAAGCAGATGGACCTGAAGGGTAAGGTCAGCAAGGATGATACCATGTTGAAGACGGTGCATCAAAATACGGTCACTATGTTGAGGCCCTTTGAGGAGAGTGGTGGACGGGTGACCAAGTTTAGTTGTGAGTGTTCCCCATTCCTACATAATCTGTGGTTTCAATAGTTATTGATACTGACTTGACACAACAGCGAGCGGTGTCGACGGCAGAGTCGTCATCTGGCACACCTAGATTTCTTCTTCATGAAAGAGGGTATAGCCGCACACCTATGGAAGCAAAAAGCCCGCAAGCGAAGCGTAACATTTAATGTTAATGGAGCAAGAGTGAACGGCTGATGATGAATCAAATTCAAGTTCAAGATCGATCATTGTCAGTTTAGCGGGTAACTTTCCCGGTCTTTGATTTCTGCCCTATCCGTGCCTCCCGGTATCCGCCAAAGTGATTGATAGTCCATCCACCCATTGTATAGAGACCCATCATGTCACTTATCAACAGTGAGCTATCCGTTTGTCATGACCGCCCGGCCGATACCGCAAGATATGTATGTGTGAATCAGACACACAGTCAACAACACATACAGGTTCATACATACAAAGCGATTCATTGACTACCGCTTGTGGCTTGCCGGACGCATTCCGATTTGCCGTGATAACTTCCATAAAAGACTTGTAAGAGAACTGATAACTGGCGGCAGGAGAAGTGCATGTTAACATTCATGTCCATCTCCTTGTTTTGTCTATTTCATGTCCTTTCGCTCCCCATCCAGACCTTAGCTTAAAAGCATCTAAGTAATCAGCCGTCCGTCACTCCGTCCCTTTCAGCTATCCAAACAACTCAACTTCACCTTGCTTTGCCTCCATCTTCCCTGCCTACTTTTTCTGATTTGAAAAGCAGCGTCACAAGCCAAACAACAAACCGAACCATGGATCACAACAATTACCACCAGTCATTTAACCACCTTCCACACCCTCTGTACTTTATTTCCGCATCTCCAGTTCATGCTTCCCCTCTTGGTAGTCCTCCAGAACCAAGAGACTACCACTACGCTCCAGCATCACCAAGCGACTTTATTTACAACTCCTCTGCCATCGCCAATAGCACCGCCAACGGCACAGCTAGCACTAGCACGGGTACTAGCATCTTTGATCGTCCCTCCCGCCCTTCTTCTTCTTCTTCTTCTTCTTCTCGTTCTTTATTCTCCATCTCTAACGAGCGGGTATTTGGTTATCCACCTGCGGGAGTAGAGTACAGCGGCCCTTCTACTGGGGCTGTGGAGCGGTCGGTTTTGGATTATTTGGAGGTACCTGGGGTACCGACATCAAGTCTACCACAACCTACACCAGGTTTTGAGGAGCATAGACGCCAGCGGCAATCAACAACAATGAACATGGGGCCAGGACCAAGTAAATCGGTGCCGCCTGCGTTGTCGTTGGGTCGTGAAAGAGGGAGTAATGCTAGTTCCAGTGAGGAGACAGTGGTGATTAAGCGGGAGGAGGGATCGCTTAGTCCTGTTTGGGTGTCGATACCGCTAGGGCAGAGGGTGGAGAGGTGGGTGCCGCGGGTGACACAGGGAAAAGAGGGAAAACAGATTAAGCAGGTGGAAGGAGATGGGGGAATGGACAATGGGATCAGTGGCGGTAGGACCTGGGGGAAAAGGGGGGAGGGGGTGGTAATGGAGAGGGTTGTGATGCCACCACCAACGGTGCAAAGTATGGGTGGGGACGTGGGCAGTATGGAGATGGGAATGGGCATGGAACCAACAATAATGCCCAAGATGGGCCTGTTCAAACCCATCAGGTGGGATGGGCCGTCTTCTTCTTCTTCTGCTTCGAAGACTAAAGCGAGGAGGGTACGTGCCTGGGAAACCTTGGAAGGAGATTGTGGGAATGATCATTTCCGACGGACTTGTGGAAATCAAGACGGAAACGGAAATGGAAACGAAAACGGCAATAGAAACCGAAACGACGAAACCGAAGACGAAAAGGTTTCTGACGCCCCCATCTCTCCTCATTCTCGCTCCCCAAAGAGACTCAAAACCTCCTCCCGATCAAGATACACCTTTTGTCCAGGTCCAGCAGAAACAGAAACAAAAACAGACACGGAAATAAAGCAAGAACCAGGCCTCTCACCGCCACCATCCGCTATTTTCGCTCAAATTCCCAGAAATCCCTTCGATGCCGTCCCAAGCAACAGTGGCTATGAATCCTCCGGCCAATATGACGATTCCCTTTCTCCGCGAAGTATCAGCCCTTTGACTCGGGTGCCGACACCTCGTCGTGTGCTGTTCACCACTACTCCGAACCGGATCATGACTGGAACAAGAGAAACGACTCAGCCTTCACTAAGGGCGGTGAGTAAGCAGTTGAAGAAGAGGAATCGGGAGATGGCGCTGGGGCAGCAGGGTCGGGAGGATAATCGAGAAGTGAGTCGGGAACGAAGTGACGAAGCGAGTCGGGAACCAAGAAAGAAACGAAGAGGAGAGGGGGGATGGAGTTTACCTGGCGGTAGTCAGGGACAGACTCACGGTGCTTCACTGCAGCAGCAGCAGCAACACCGAGGATCTTCAGAAGAAAGAGAAAAAGGCTGGACAACAACCATCTCAGGCAGCAGTGAAGAAGGGGAAGTAAGCAGTTACTACGAAAACAGTTACAGTTATAGCTGCGGTCAACAGGAAAGGCGGGATAGGGATGACGCTGCTGCTGCTGCTGCATCAAGTAATAATGCCCTTTCTTGTACCGATCAAGAAGAAGAAGAAGAATGGTGTCGCCCTTTTTCATTCTCATCGTCGGCACCCGTCTCTTTTGAGACGTCAGCGAGATATGGTGATTATGTATCCGCTCCTCCGTCACTGTCGGTTTCCCAACTGAAGGGGGAGGAATACCGGCAAGCTATTATACAAATGGTGCAAGACACTTGTCTTGAGGCTAGCAAGAGGTATATCAGGGCTCATTGTGTGAATAGGGGGGCCCGTGACGGGGGCGGTAGTCCCGACACTAGTCCTGCTCCCCGCCAAACTGTCTCGACACGATCGGCCCGCAAGGCAAGAAGGAAGCATAAACTTGAATCCCGTCAGGCATTTTCCTCTTCCTTTTCATCCTCCTCCTCCTCACCAGAATCTTCACCAGCACCAGCACCTTCACAGCAACGACGCAAAGGTAAAGGTAAAAGCAAACGACAAAACCGAACCAAAAAGCGAACAACCGCCACCACCACTCCTCCCTCCTCTTCGTCCTCCTCTTTTAACTCACCCCATCACCAACCTCCCCCCGAAATCCATTTAAGAGATGCCCTCCTCCCCAACATCTCCCAAATCTGCACCCTCCTCTGGTCGCGCTCGCAGTCTCTCCGACTGCACGACACCGACAGCATCGAGCTGCATACCGCGCGAAACATGTACTGGCTTTTATCGTGGGCGGAGACCGTGGCTTTTGCCGTTGCTGTTGCTGCTCCCGCCGCCATCTCGGATGCTGGTATGTCACCGTGTACCTCGGTGGATTCACTATCATCATCATCATCATCATCTGTTGCTGCCGCTAGTGTCCCTGGCGGTCCCTGTCTTGAAGAAGAAGATTTGGGTGTACAAGGGGAGTGGTATCGATCTTCTTCTTTTTCTTTGCGGCGGAGAAAAAGGGAGTGGGAATGGGACTGGGAGTGGGAGGGTTTTGGGGAGGGGGTGAGTGAGGAGGGGGATAAGGCTAAAGGAGGGTTTGAGAGCAGAAATGGGAAAGCGGTTTGGGAACAGCAACGCATAGAAGAAATGATGAAGAGGGTGTTTGACGAGGGAGGCATGCTTTGTGAGTTTCTGGGGTATGGGGAGGGGGTGGAGAGGTTGGGTAGGGTTAGGGAGTTTTGTGGGTTTTGACGGAATTCATTCATGGACTACTTGGGTTGGTTCCTATCTAGAATTTGCGGCATTTTGAGGTAGTAGTGTTTCTGGTCAAGGATGGAATCTGGATATTGAGAATTGGATAGAAGAGATTTTTCTTCAAAGATCGTCAATGTGGTAACTGAAGATAGCCTGATGAGCATGTGTACTTTTCTTCGGGGCATGGTCCACAACGTGTTTGCCTCGTGGCTTATTTGGTTCCTGGTGAGGAAAAGGAAATATGTCTCGTGCTTTGATTTAATAGCTTCTGGTAGTGTATACACGTGTATATGATGTATTAGTTATCGTCTTGTCTGGCTTGTTCTGGGTAAAGCGTGATGGGTTTGGTTGGCTCGGCGTGTGTGACCCTGGTTGACTCTAACTTTTTAGAACAAGTGTGGGTGTTACTCCATCTTGATGCTCTTTGGTAATGACAGCAAAGAATCGATAAGATAGCCGGGAAGAGCGGGAATAACCAAAGAAAAAACCATAGGGACGGATATCGAGAAAAAAACACAAAAAACAAAAAAAGGGGGCGCGGTTTATCGGGCACTGAAATTGGGATGGTCCACAAAGTATCCAATATTGCCATGATAACGTCAACTGAGGAAGAGCTGAAAAGAGCTGACCCCACTGGAGCCCACTCGATAACCCCACAACCCCACGGCGGGTAGGCGAACGCTAAGAGCGCTGCCCTGAAGTGGACCTGTCCGGGGCATGGTTGGCGGGATCCCGGGCCTTGTTACAGTGGATGTGGTTCCCCCCCAGAATTCCCAGGCAGGGCAATTCCCCGGAATGGAGGATGGGAAAATGTTCAGTTGGTTTTCAACATGGTATCATCTTCGACCCCCCTTCCATCCTTGGACCTTGTCTTTGTCACCAATGAGAGACGGACTCGCTCACCGATCACTCGCATTCCCGTATGTCCGCCCGTGTTACATCCAGAAATGACCCCACGGACCGTCACCCAACAGCCCTGAGGCCGGCCGGGGGAATGATAAGCACTTCTCTTCCTGTTGTGGTCACGGCTATGTGCTGCAGTAGTGTAAGCTTAGCTGACAGGGCATTCGATGACTGCCCCTGCCTCTTTTTTTTTTTTTTTTTCTCTTTTTTTAATTTCTTTTTTTTTCCCTCCTTCTCACTCACATATTATCCAAGTTGAAGTACTACACACATCAACCCGGACTGTCACGCGACCACACTCCACTCACCAAATCCGCCATCTCACCCGGCGACGATAGGACGAACGGTTGTGATAGGGACGCGATGATATTGGGCGCGTATCTAGTAAGAGGATGAGACCTTTACAAACCGACCAGTCGCCTCTCAACCGACAATAACGACAACAACGGAAGCATGAAACCCAAAAAGCGAGACACCATGCCCAGCGACATAGAAATGGCCGCTTACGGCAGCAGAGGTGGAGATTCCTTCGGCCAGGGAAGTTCATGGAGTTTCCGGGAACCCTTCGCAGTCGGCCGCGTTCCGACATGGGCACGCGCTCGGCATCGCCAAGAACCGAGGTTGCGGACATTCCTCGACTCGTTCAAACGGGACCCGGTCCGCCGGATATCAACACATGGCATCTACGCCCAGAGTCATCCTGATCAATACCAAGCAGCCGACTCCTCGGATGAACCTCGGACCGAACAGAATCATGGAAGCCACTACTTTGACCTGCACGCCGCCAACGTCAGGACGGCAAACACGGGTCTGGCCCGAGAGCTCAAGGGGAGACACTTGCAGATGATTGCCATTGGTGGTTCAGTTGGTATGTCTTGTACAACACCTTACAAAAAGACATGACTGACCAACATCAGGTTCCGGTTTGTTCGTGGCCTCGGGCAAGTGTCTCTACCTAGGAGGTCCGGCCGCGCTCATCATTGCATATGGCTTTGTGGGTGTCATGCTTTGGTGTACTATTCAAGCTCTCGGTGAGCTGGCCGTTGCTTTCCCCGTTGCCGGTTCCTTCTCGTCATACTCTACAAGATTCCTTGATCCAGCATGGGGTTTTGCCATGGGGTGGAAGTAAGACACTGACCCCTGAACTTTATCGAACCTGACTAACCTCACCCCCAGCTATGCCCTCCAATGGTTGACAGTCCTACCACTCGAACTCATAGCAGCTTCCATCACCATCGGCTACTGGAACGACCAACTCAATAAAGCCATCTTCATCACCATCTTCCTAGCAACCGTTATCATCATCAACCTCTTTGGTGTCAAAGGCTATGGTGAAGCCGAATTCGTCTTTTCCATTGTAAAAATCGCCGCAGTCACCGGTTTCATGTACGTACATTCCCTTTTTATCCTCTCCAAAACTCTCCCTAACGATACCAGCATCCTCGCCGCAGTCATCAACATTGGCGGCTTCGACGACCCCCAAGGCAACACCGGCTACATTGGCGGGCGCTACTGGACCAACCCCGGCGCCTTTCACCACGGTTTCAAAGGTCTCTGCTCCGTCTTCGTCTCCGCCGCCTTCGCCTTTACAGGTACCGAGCTGGTCGGGCTCGCCGCCGCTGAAACCGCCAACCCGCGTAAATCCCTACCGACAGCCATCAAACAAGTCTTTTGGCGCATCACCCTCTTCTACATTGTCTCTCTCACCCTCGTCGGCCTCATCGTCCCCTACAACCACGAGCGCCTGTTGGGAAACATCTCCCATTACTCCGTCTCCGACGCCTCGTACTCGCCCTTCGTTATAGCCATCGAGTCCGCCTCCATCCAAGTGCTACCGGGAATCATGAACGCCGTCATCCTCATCGCCGTACTCAGCGTAGGCAACTCCGCCGTCTTTGGTAGTTCCCGCACCTTAGCAGCCCTGGCCGACCAGCGTCAAGCGCCCCAAATCCTCGCCTACGTCGACCGCAAGGGCCGGCCCCTCTTCGCCATCCTTTTTGCAGCTCTCGTCGGCCTCATCGGCTACCTAGCCGACCTGAAATTCCAATCAGACGTGCTAAACTGGCTGCTCGCCGTCTCGGGCCTTTCGTCCATCTTCACCTGGGGCTCCATCTGCCTCTGCCACATCCGGTTTCGCCGCGCCTGGGCCCGCCGGGGCCGGTCCCTTACCCAACTCAGCTTCACTGCACAGGCAGGCATCACGGGGTCGTACGTCGGCCTTTTTCTAAATGTCTTTGTGCTGATTGCCCAATTCTGGATTGCGGCGTTCCCGATTGTCACGTTTACGGATAACCAGTCGGCGGCTACCGCGTCGCCGAGTAAAGTGGCGCAGAGTTTCTTTTTGCAGTATCTGTGTGTGCCGATTGTGGCGGCGTTTTATTTGGTGTATAAGCTGTGGTTTAGGACCAAGATTGTCAGGAGTGATGAGATGGATTTGGATACGGGACGGAGGAGGGATGTGAATTTGCCCGTGTTGGTGATGAGGGAGAAGGAGGAGGTGGAGGGGTGGCCCGGGTGGAAGAGGGTTTATCGGTTTTTTTGTTAGCCGTTCACTGGGATTATTTGGTTTGGAGTGGTGATTTCCTTGGGTTTGGATTGAATGGTTACCTAGGAGTACCCTAAATGTCTTGGAGTTTGTGTTGGAATATTTGGGAAGGATTTGTTGGAATTATGGGTTTGGGATGGGATATGAAGCGAGGCGTTTAGAGTTTGTGGGTTAGTTGGGAACGAATTTGCGATGGAATTTTGACTCTGTTCAGTTCTGTACAGTTTGATGATACCATGGCCGGGGCTTGTTAGTATACACCACTTGTAACTGTAATGACCATGGATGGAGAAGAATGAAAATATCCGATAATTGGCTTTTTACCTCTTATGGTCACCTACGGCATCCATCTTCGGTTCTCGGGTAGTTTCGACTTTTGCCTGTAGCCACACCTACGCTGAATCCCGAACTCGATTCAGTTCGGTTCCGTAAGACAACGGGAGGTACTCATACACCACCGTGTTCAATGAGTCATTTTAGTATATTGGGCAGGCAGGTGTATCGGGACTTTTCAGATATGTGCCTATTACTAGGTAGGTAAACGAAGGGGCGATGAAGTCTTTCTGTTTAGTCATTCAGTTCAGTTCAGTGGAAACTGCCCTGGGAAAGAGCACCCCATCAACCGCATAACCTATGGAAAAGGGCTTGTTCTACAATGGAAGGAATGAATTTGCGTGATGTACCATTGTTACCTGTAGGTTGTCTTGCTTAGGCATACCTAAAGGTGGGAACCGTCATCGCTGTTGATGTTAATATAAAAGTCTCAACCGGAAAGGAACAGTCTACATGACATCTCCTTTACTATCTACCATCCAAGTCTACCACCATCAGTCCCGATACCTCTCCCCTTCCACCCTTTCCTCTTCCTCTCTCCCCATGTGAATCATCTCCCCTCTCCTCTTTCCAAACCCCACCAAAGTCACCACCCCCAAACAAACAGCAAACATCCCCCCCGCCACCAAAAACGGCAATCCCATCCACCGCATCCCATCCCCATCCCCCTTTCCCGGTCCCTCACCAAGTCTCAACCCAACACCAAACAACTCCGCAGCCACCGGCCTCCCCGCCGACGTAGCCGCATACGTAACAACACTAATGACCGTATACAGCGTCGCGCGATGGCGAGCATCCACGAGGTTGGTAATCAGACTGCGCAAGGGGACCGAAAGCGCGGCGCCTGCTGAATAAAGAACTTCGCCTGAGGCGAGAAATCCAAAATTCGAGATGGGGAGGGAAATGAACAGGCAGCCGAGGGTGAGGAGGGTGGCGAAGGTGCGGGAGAGGAGGGCGTCTTTGGCTTCTTCGCCCATTCTTGCCCAGGGATATGGCGAGGAGTGGGAGAAGAAAGTGGATAAAGAGGGGAGGAGGAGGGTGAGTGTTAGGAGGTTGGTGAGGGCGCCGAGGGAGGGGAGGAGGGAGGCCTGTTTTGGATGGGTGTTAGTGGGAGGGATGAGATAAATAGGTAGGTAGGGGAAGGGGCAAAAAAAAGGAAAGGAAAACACTCTTGGAGGAAATAAAAATGGTGAATAAGGATAAGACGTACCTTCCCCAAAGACCACCCCAGCCTTTTACTCGCATACTGAATCATCAACAACTGTTCCGCCTGCTCGCCCATATAGTACAACCAGAAACAAAGCAACAGCAAAACAGCCTTGGGGTTCTTACAAGTCCACGTCCCTGCCTCCTTTGTCTTTTCCACGTACTCTTCCACAAGCTGCATGACAGTCTTCTTATGCTTCGTGATTGTTTCCTCCGCACTAGACCCGCTGTTCTCTTCCTCTCCCTCTGCACCCATCACCAACTCACCAACACCTATCTCCAAAGAGTCGATATCAGAAGAAGCAGGCAAAGTCTCCTCCACAAAAACAACAGCAACGACATACCCCACCACCTGAACCAAAAGACCAATCCACATGGCAAGCCACGCATCATCATAGGCAATCAAAGCACCACCAATAGGCACAAAGAGAAACCGCGAGACGATGGACGCAGCAAGGAGGTAGCTGAAGAAGGTGGAGCGTTGCTCGGCGGGACAGACGTCGGCGATGAGGACATAGACAATACTGGTGAAGGTGGTGCTGCCTGAGCCGAGGAGTTGGAAGAGGCCGCCGAACCAGACGGCGCGGATGGGGAAGAAGTTGGGGAAGTAGTCTTTATGACTGTTAGGTTTTTTTTTATCGATGGATAAGGGAAAGGGAAAGGGAAAGAGAAAGGGAAAAAGGACGAGAAAACGTACAGACGAGACGAACCCATGCTTCGTTTAGTAGACACCCCAATAAAGCGAGGAGCAGGACTTTTTTGCGTCCGATGCGGTCGGTTAGGATGCCCCAGGGGATGGCGAGGGCGACGGCTGGAGTTTTTGATGAGTGTTGGGTTAGTGTTTGTGTTTTGTTTTGTTGGGTTCAGTTGTGTGTGAGTTATCGGGCATCGATCATGCAGCATTTTTCTTCTTAGGTATGTTCATGATATCCTTCTCATTTTATTCCCCGTTCATCTTTTTTTTTCACCCTTTACTCTTCCCACCCTCTTATTCCACCCCCGTTTCTTTTTCTCTCCTCTCTTTTTCTCTCCTCTCTTTTTCTTTCTTCTTTTTTTTTTTTTTCTTTCTTTTTTTTTCCTTTTCTTTTTCGTTTTTCTTTAATTTTTAATTTTTAATTTTCTTTATTTTTATAACTCCTGTTTCCCTCTCTTCCTCTCTTCCTCTCTTCCTCTCTTCCTCTCTTCCTCTCTTCCTCTCTTCCTCTCTTCCTCTCTTCCTCTCTTCCTCTTAACCACTTCTACCTCCCTCTTCCCCCCTCCTATTATCCCCCCTCTTAACCACTTCTACCCCCCTCCCCCCTTATTCCACCACCACCAAAAGAAACAAAAAAAAAAAAAAAAAAAAAAAAAAAAAAAAAAAAAAAAAAAAAAAAAAAAAAGTCAAACCCACCAGGTAATATCTCAAACACATCCTTCCAAGCATTCACCTCGGCAACCTCACTCTGCACCGGCCCCACTTTACACTTATCATCTTCAAAGTTCGTCGGCAGTCCTTCAAAGCTGGTCGGCAATCCTTTTCCCAAGCTCAAAGAGTCGATGATTCCCTTCTCATAGTACTTTTTGCAGATGATCCCCTGGAGAATGGCGAGCGAGGGCGCGGTGGTGATTTGTACGCCCATGGTGAAGAGGAGGGTGAGGGAGGCGACTGTTACGAGGGTTGGCCATAGTGCGGATGAAGAGGGTTTTTGGTCTTGGAAGGAGGGGGCATCTTGGGGAAGGAGGGTGGTTTGTTCGGTTGGGGTGTCGTTGGTGTCGGTGTCTTCTGGGGGGTCCATGTTTGGTGGTTTTGGTGATGGGGATGATGAGTGGTGATTAGGTGGGAAAAAAACAAGATGAAGGCAACGCTGGTCAAGGACAGAAGATGAAAGAAGAGTGATGCTGATGAAATCAGAAAGAGTCTGAACGCCCGAGGTGAAATGGAATGTCAAGAGAATGTGGAGGGATGGTTGGTAAAAGGTCAAAAACCTTGTGTGAGTCAAGGTAAACAAATGATAAGGGGTTTCACATCATAGGGCTGGATGGATTGGTGTTGTATTGTTGGTAAGAGTACGTACGTATTGCTGGGCCGGAACGCGCAAAGGACGCGCAATACTTGCTGGGGTTGCGGTGCGCTGGCACGGTATAGGATTCGATAGCGGTTTATTGGTTGCGGCTTAACGGAACCCGGAATGATATCAAGGTTGGGTTCCGTCTTATGTGTTGATGGTTGCAAATGAAACAGATTCACTTTCTGTTTTGAGAAGAGATGATGGGAGATACTAACCACCAGGGAAACCAACACCGACCAGATGCTTATTCCCGACATGAAGCATTCGTAGGGCCCTTATCGGTAACCAACGGTTTCTCTTTGGGAGTATCATACATTATGAATCTATCATGAAAGATTTGTATGGGAGGATTCAAATGTACCTTTGCTCTGCCCTGGAGACGGGACGTGTAAGCGCTAGAACAGATGTGGAAGGTCGATAACTTTATACGAACTCTATTCCAGCAACCGGCCGCGCGTTAACGTCCACGTCAAGCAACCAAAAAGAACTTTGATGCCCAACATCGCTGCCGATTCCGTCGATATATGACGGGGCTGCCTTTTTTGTCTAATCCATCGCTCCCTGCCCCAAACTTCCTTTCCCGGCCCGGCCTATGCATGCTCATCCTCTGTCACAAATATGTTTTCGTCGTCGTTATTGCTGGAAGCATGTGGTATAGTATGTCGCATATAGCTCAGGTATACAGATAGATCGATAGCGGTTATGGGTTCCTCAGACTGTAAATCGGCTTCATATGGTCCGTTGTTTGTTCTCTAACTGGGGAGTATGGTCCTTCAAGCCGCGGGGGCAGCAACATAGGCGTTGATGGCCTTGACGGCGTCGCCATCGTGGGCCTTGAGTAGTTCGGTAGCCTTGGCCTTGGTGAGCTCGAGCTCCTCGACCTGTTTGATGCCCCGTCAGTAAGCTGTGCCCAACGGCGATTACTAAAGACACTCACAAGGAGGGCGACATCGGCCGCATCGACCTTGACCTTCTTCACCTCGGCCTGCTTGCTACCGGCAGTGCTGAGAGAGTGGAAAGCGTTCTTGACGGCATCCTGGTCGACCTGGGCGGAGGACTCGTCTTCGCGGTTGGAGTCGAGGCTGGACAAAGCAGCGGCGGCCTTGCGGTCCTCGGCGGACTTGGCGGTTGGCTGGACCTCTTCCTCGACGTCACCGCCAGTGGCGCCCTCGACGACGGCAGGTGGTTGTTTGTCCTCGGCCATTTTGAAAGTTGAAACTAAAATTGGCAGTGTAGACAAAAGTCGGACAGACGTCGGTTGCTAAAATAAAGCTTTGAAACAGGAGCTGGCTGCTGCTGTAGTGTCACTGCTGCACTTTGCTGTACGTAGAACACCAAGTTCCCGTCGCGACCAGATGTGGGGGCGGGGCAGGCACCGGGCACAGCGTCACAGTGGGACACATTTCGTCGCCCATGTTATTGGTCAATTGACTTTCCCAGACTTTGGAGGGACGGTTTTGACACTTTGAACAAACACCGTGTGGTGCACTTGCCACTGACTCACCACTCCCCCGACAAGCCGAAAGGATATTTGAATAGGATCTTCCGTCTTCTTTGAAGTCCAGCCATGACTAGCAATGAACTACACACCATTCTTTACCACTTTCTTTTCTGAGAAAAGACCACCATAACAGTCGTCGTCGTTCAAGACTTTAGTTCTTGGATATTGACCCACCTGTCCATTCTTAGTCACTCGCTGTTCGAATACTACTGCCAAGACATCACAAGCGCCACTTTGGCTTCGAAATTTCCACCCACTTACACACCAACTTCACCATCTTCAAATCCGTCGTCACCATGAGCCAACAAACGACACCAAACGCCTCCGGATGGACACCCGACTCGTGGAGATGCAAGCCCATCAAGCAATGCCCCGAGTACCCCGACAAGGCCGCCCTTGAAAAGGCCACCAACGAGCTCAAGACCCTCCCGCCCATCGTCCTCCCCAACGAGATCATCCGCCTCCGGGAACACCTTCGCGATGTCGCCCAAGGCAAGGCCTTCCTCCTCCAGGGCGGCGACTGCGCCGAGCTCTTTAGCTACTGCCAGCAAGACGTGATCGAGTCCAAGATCAAGCTCCTTCTACAGATGTCGCTTGTCCTCCTCTGGGGCGCCGACAAGCCCGTTGTGCGCATCGGCCGCATGGCCGGCCAGTACGCGAAGCCTCGCTCATCGCCCGTCGAGACCATCAACGGCAAGGAAGTGCCCTCCTTCCGTGGCGACATCCTCAACGGCTTCCACCCCGATGAGCGTGAGCTGGATCCTAACCGTCTCGTGCGCGCCTACCAGTACTCAGCAGCCACGCTCAACTACATCCGCGGCGCCATCGGTTCCGGCATCGCCGACCTTCACGGTCCCCTCGACTGGGGCCTCGGCCACGTGCGCGACCCGGCTCTCAAATCCAAGTACCAGGAAACCGTCGACCGTATCCAGGAAATGTTGCGCTTCATGCACACCATTGGCGCCGACCAAAACGAGAAGCTGTCGACTGTCGAGCTCTTCACCTCGCACGAGGGTCTCCTGCTCGAGTACGAGGAACCGCTCACCCGCTTGCTCAACCACCCTTCGGTCCGCTCCTACCCTCCCGACTCTACCACTCCCCCCAAGAAAGAATACTACAACACGTCGGCTCACTTCTTGTGGATCGGCGACCGCACGCGCCAAATCGACCACGCGCACGTCGAATACTTCCGCGGCATCGCCAACCCCATTGGCGTCAAGATTGGTCCCTCGACACCTACTTCGGACTTGTTGCCTATGCTGCGCACCCTGAACCCCAACCGCGAACCCGGCAAGGTTACGCTCATTACGCGTTACGGCGCCGACAAGGTGGCGTCTCTCCTGCCTGCGCACATCCACACGGTCGAAAGCTCCGAGTACGCCCGCACCGTGGTCTGGCAGTGCGATCCCATGCACGGCAACACACAATCGGTCAGCGGCGGCATCAAGACGCGCAAGTTCAGCGACATCTTCTCGGAGCTTCAGCAGACACTACGCATCCACAAGGAACAGAAGTCTTACCTGGGCGGCATGCATTTGGAATTGACGGGTGACGCGGTGACAGAGTGCTTGGGAGGTGGTGCAGGGCTAGATGAGGATGACTTGAGTACTAACTATACGAGCTTCTGCGATCCGCGGTTGAACGAGAAGCAGGCGCTGGAGCTGGCGTTCCTGGTGGCGGATCATTATAGGCAGGAGAGAAAAGAAAAGGAGGCTGAAAGGAGAAAGTCCTCGGTGGTTTAGGGGGCCGCTTGTTTGAAGATGTGGAGGAGCTGGCAGATGAAAAAAGTAGTGAGGCTACTGGCGCGAATGGGAGTGCTCCTACTATTGGAGGAACTGCTACAACTCTTGGGGCTGCTACAGCGAATGGGGCAGCAAATACAAAATAGGATGCGACTACCAATGAGGCTGCTATTACATCTAGGGCAGGTGGTGGTTTTGGATGTGGCGGGACTGCTGCTTCGGAAACTCTTCCATGACATGCCAAAGCTGGGAACGGCTGATAGGCCACGACGGGAGATGGCCCATGGTCGCGATACAGCTATTGTGTGATAAAAGGGTGGATAGTTTTGTGATGACAAGCGAATCGGCCATAGGTGGTGGGTTTTACAGGTCATGGAAAAAGGAAAGGGGAAAAAGTCCCGAAAGGGGTGTGAAACGGTCTATGAGGAGGCAAGCGGTTGTCATGTTATGAAAGAGGGTTATTCAAAATTCACAAGTGCTATAGCGTCTTTCTGTATCGAACATTGGATTCATCTTTTCAAGTGTTTTGGTACAACAAGGTAGTGTCCTGGAAATTCGAAGCCCAAGAAAAGTACAGGGTAGTCAAGGTGACGCATCGTGAGCACAGTGACGTACACCGTCCGTCCGTCGGGCTCCAGCAGCTTTGGTCTGCCGCATGTTTCAGGTCATGCAACAAGCTACTGTCGTCCGATACAGCTCCTCCCCTCCTGGTGACATTTACCCCGCTGTCCTGTATCATTGTACCAGAACAGTTCCAGCTTCCAGAGCTTCCCCTCTTTTTGATCTTCCGTCCGATCATCAACTTGAAACATCCGACTTGAACTGACCAAGCTTTTACAGACTCACAGCTTATCTATCTTTACTCCATTCTCGTTTTGTTTGTCCGACCTCGTTACTTACCCCTCTTCCACTTCCGGTTCCAACTCTATTCCGACACCTTCGACGTCCATCGCAAACCCCAACAACTCTCCCCGACCAACAACCCAAACAACCCAGACCAACCATACCAACCGCAACAATGGTCGACCGTGGCCGTAAGCCCTCCGCCCTAGCCTCCACCCCCGGCCTGCCCCCGCAACCCCAAGTCGCCTTCTCTGCGGACAACTCTCGTGTGACCGCCACTCTTCCCACCGGCGAGAGCGTCTCGGTCCTGCTGTACGGCGCCACCGTCGTCAGCTGGAAGGACAAGAACGGCGATGAGAAGCTGTGGCTGAGCGAGGCGGCCAAGTTGGATGGGAGTAAGCCTGTGAGGGGCGGAATTCCCTTGGTTTTCCCGGTATGTTGTCCGCCGCCCTTGATTATTTTTTTTTCAAAGGAAGGAAGAAGGAAAGACGACGTTATGCTGACGAGAAACGGAAATAACAGGTCTTCGGAACAGCCCCCGGCCACGCTCAAACCAAGGAGCTACCCCAGCACGGCTTCGCCCGCTCGTCGCGGTGGGAGTTCCTGGGCAAGTCCACTTCGGAATCGACGCCCACTCCCACCACCCCGGCCTTTGCTGCGACGGCCACTAGCGCTGCCGGAGCGGTGGCGGCGGCGGCGGCGGATTTGAGCGTCAAGCTGGACTTTGGACTGAGCTCTTCGGGCTTGAGCGAGGACGCCAGGGCAAAGTGGCCGTATGCGTTTAATGCGATTTACAGCGTCACGCTGAACACGGATAGTCTGACGACCAACTTGGTGATTACCAATGACGACGAGAGGAGTTGGGAGTGTCAGATGTTGATGCATACATATCTCAGAGTTAACGTATGTTTTTTTTTTTTTTTTTTTCCTTTTCCTTTTTCCTCCCCTTGCTTCCTTCCTCCCGCTAATCGCACACAAAAAAACCAGGACATCACCTCCGTCTCCATCCACGGCCTCGAAAACGCCTCCTTCGTCGACAAAACCACCTCCCCCATCTCCACCAGCACGCAAATCACCTCGGCGCTAACCATCTCCTCCGAGACCGACCGCGTCTACACCCCCGCCGGCGACGACCCCGCGTCCATCCCCATCACCGTTTTCGAAGGTGACCAACCCAAGTACACTGTTCTGCGGGACAACCTTGCCAACGTGGTGGTCTGGAACCCCTGGATCGAAAAGGCGCAAGGTATGGCGGACTTTGAGCCCAAGGACGGGTACAAGAACATGTTGTGCGTGGAACCGGGGGCGGTGGCTACGTGGCAGGTGTTGGAGCCGGGGGATGCGCTTGAGGGGGCGCAGACGATTGTTTTGGGTGGGAAGCAGAATTGAACCGAGGGTGCGTGGGTGCGGGTGCTGAGGGCAGAGCGGGCTAGAGAAGGGATGAAGGGGAGGTTATAACATCAAGACAAGGGGATGGAAGTGGTAATTGGATTAAAGTGGGAAACGGAGGATGTACATGAATGATGATAAGTGATGACGATGAATATGTGGCAGAAGATGACGGAGATAGTCTTGTAGCTGTGGGGGCAGCCAGTTTTGCTGGATAAATAGACAGACAGAGACGGCAATGATTATAGTAGCTGGACAAGAGCTCACGTATTGGAAGTGAAAGACGTGATGAGTGATGGCAATGACTGAGAGAGGCTTGCATCAATACAGCCACCATTTTCACCACATTGGTTTTACTTGCTCTTAATGTCCTTAATCAGTCATGCAAAGCAACGAATGCAGCGCTAACATTGATCCAACAAGTAACTCCCGCTCTGCTATACTATGCTATAACCCAATATCCCAGACGCCCGGAATATCCCCATTCCTACAAATGCCACAAGCCACGATGATCCAGCCATCTATCCATCCGTCCGTCTTTGTGCCTGCCTGCTTACAATATATCCTACAGCATCTTACCACACTCCATAACTCAACCACCCCTCGAACCTGAACCTGAACCAGAACCTGACTCATCACCACCACCACCACCACCACCACCACCACCACGACGATTATTTACCACCACCATTATTACCACCACCATTATGATGACTAGAACTACCACCACCAACAACCCCCGCAACACCCCCCAACTTCCCCAGCAAAGCCACTATATTCTCGCTTATCGCCGGGAGGAGGGAGGTGGAGGTAGAGGTGGAGCTACTAGTAGTAGTAGTCCCGTCGGGAGATGAAGAAGAAGAAGAAGCAGAAGAAGCGGCAGGGAAATTATCTCTGAGGATCGCTTGGCAGATGGCCATGCAGGTTGCTATGTCGTCTAGTGGTACCACCGCCCCCCTGTATGTTTCACTGCTGCTGCTGCTGCTGCTGCTGCTGTCCCTGCTGTCGTCGTCGTGGGAGGTTGAGGTTGAGGTTGATTGGAGAAGGAGGGCTGGACGGCCTTGGTTGTGGTGGATGAAGGCGTCGAGGGTGGGGGGGTGTGGGGGCCGTTGAGTGTTACTAGAGGTAGACGACTTTGTGTGGGGTGGTGCGTTGTGAGTCCTGGGGTGGTGGTGGTTGAGGAGGAGGACGAGGAGATGGCAGTGGTGGTGGTGGTGGTAGGCGTCATCATCACTTGTTGGATGTAGCTCGACATTTGATGATGACTTCTTGCCGGTCCCTCATGATGGGACTGCTGCTGCTGCCCCTTCTCCCTCTCCCTCTCCTTCCCCCCCTTTGACTCCCTAGTGGTAGAATCCTTAGAATTAACAACACCCCCCCTCGCAGTCTGCAACACCCCCCACCCCCAAACCGCCAACCCGCCCAGATGCACCGCGGCCGCCCAAAACTCTCTCAGTTGCCCTTTAGGAAACTCTCTCGCGAACCTGAGTACCTGCCCCGCATGCCACAGCGCCTGTCGCGCCTCGCTACTATCCGCCCACCGCTGCAGGACCGGATAAATCCTTTTAGCTTGCTCTTCGCCTTCTTTTCCCGAAAAGAGCTGCAGGTCTTCGAGAGAGACGTGGATGTGCATGAGTAAAAGATGGAGGAGGAGGAGTTCATTGGGTGTTGTGTATGAATACAACGGAGAAGAAGGGGGGGAGACTAAAGCGTGGAATTGGTGCAAGGTAGTGCGGAGGTCGGCGAGTCGAGAGATGAGGAGGGATTGCGTGGTTGTTGCATTGGGGTTATTGAACGGGGATGTGGAGGTGTAGGTGGATGAGGAAGACGACGACGGTTGTCCGAACAGGGGGCGATGGATCGACGCCAGTTGGCGGTACTCCCAGATCAGCGACCAGAAACCATGCAAGTAGATGCTGATAGCGAACTGGACGTCTAGTCTATGGTGATGGCGGACCAAGAGGGTCACGTCCCGCAGTAAGTCGCCGAGGCACGGGACTTGTTCGTCCATGGTGGAGGACGAGGATGCAGCGGCAGCTAACCACCGAGACTTCCACTCTTCTTTGGTGCGCGCGAACCAACATTCTTTCGGGCCCGGTAACGGCATGCGCATCTCCGCGTAGCTGATGCTGGGATTGTTCAGCTGCGTCATGCTCACTTGCGCGTCGCGCAGGTACGCATGGAACGCTAGTCGTTTCCAGGATTCCATCTCCATCCACCGCTTCCACTTGTCTTCGAGCTCCTTGCCTTCGTCGGCTTCCGTCACTACGATGGCGGGGAGGTAAGCGCCGCGGGTGAATTTCCCTCGGCCGCGCATCATGGCGACGGGGACCGTCAGGTGGCATTCGGCAATCTCCATCTTGCGCCGGTTGCCAGACCAGACGCCGAGGTCCTGCGTGAGGACGAGGGCTTGGACGAGCCCGAGGTCGGACACTTTGGAGTTGTTCTCTTCGAAGCGGCCGGGGATCGAGACGCGGACGGCTTCTTGGAGGGCGAAGCCGAATTTACGAAGGGCGGGCACGGGCGCGAGGACGGCGCCGCAGGCGGCGGTGATGGCGAGCCATTCGGGGGGTTGGGCGTTGAGGGACCAGTAGAGCGCCGAGGGGGAGCGGTCCTTTGTGCCGGAGCCAGAACCAGAAGTAGAAGAAGAAGAAGGAGGAGGAGGTAAATGACAAGCAATAAAACTCGACACGGAACATATATGCGAAGCCAAAAAGATGTGGATCCAATGGTTGATGGACCCCGAAGAAGGAAACGAAGAGGCAACCCTGGAAAACTGGGACGAGTTGGATTTGCAGATGGAGAGGACTATGGAGAGGATTAGGTCGCGGCCCGAGGAGTGAAGAGTGTGCTGGTTGAGGGTTATTAGTTGCTGCTGCCCCTGGGACCCGGAGTTTTGCTGCTGTTGGGTTGCTTTATTGTTGTTGTTGTTGTTGTCGGTTGGTTGTGAAGGAGAAAGATCGGATGACTTGCGTTTGAGTGCCGATTTGGGAGAGAACGAGGGCGATGAGGATCCGGATGTTGAGAGAGGCAAGTGTGATTGTTCGGCGTAGACGTTATCCGTTCGCTGGGGGGTCCAGCGCCAGGGGGAGTCGGTCCATATCTGAGCTAGTTTTGGTCGCATGGCGGATATGTTCACGGGATCTGAAGTCGTTTGACCTGTCTCTGCTGTGGTGGTCGACGACGAAATTGGGCCTGAGCTTGGACCGAGCTGAGCTGGATCAGAAGAGGGAAGCGGGATAAAAGGCTCATCATGTAACCAGTAGTCCAAAAACCCAAAGTCCATGGCATTCAGGTCAAGACTGGAGTCATCGCAAAAGTCAAGAACTGCCAGCCCCTGAGCCTGGGAGAGCGATTGGTCGTACAAAACGTCCCGAAGAAAGTCGGAAAAGGGGAGTTTGGCCATGTCGTCGAGCATGTTACTTGTGTTGTTGTGGGGATAGGTTGCTTGGACTTGAAAGGCTTGTTCTGGGTTTGGGTTGGCAGTTTGCGTCTGGTCCATTATCGTTTCGGGAGTCGGTAGATGGGATTCCTCGCTTTCGGTGAGCATGGGACTGTGTTCAACTGGTTCCGAAGGGTAATGTGTGTGGAAGCCAGACGCATGAGGCTCGGAAATCGAAGGTCGTGGGTAGTAGGAAGCTTGTCGATCCTCATAGTCATAGCCCTGAGCGCGATCGTGGGCGGATAGATGAAGGAGATGCAGAGCTGCGTCTTCTGAGGAGCCATATTCGCAGCTTATCCCTCGATTTTTACATCGTGTACATCTGGGTGTTGTCAGCAATCGTTTCACCTAATCTCTTTCAGTTGTAGGTACGCACGGCTTCGCCTCTTCACACTTCACTCTCGCCTTCGCACAAGCCTGGCAAGCATGCGTCACGCGTCCAGCACCAGGCGAGGAATTCATGCGTCTCCTTTTGGCTCCATTGTCATCTTGGTGGTTGGTGCGGTGACGCTTTAGGAGATCAGCTCGGGCAAAGGCTTTTGAGCATATCTAGGACAGTTTTAGCCCCAGTTTCAAGAATCAGCCGTGACAGCAAACTTACATCGCAAATGAAACGCTTCCCGAGAGTATGGGTCGCTATATGTCTCTACGCTTCGGTTAGCTACATTGATGTGATACTTTGACTACATCAGTCATGGACATACCTGTAAGTGTTCAGGCCGAGAATACCGTCCTTGTTATTGTTAGATTTGCCGGATACAAAAGCGGGACTCGGAACCTACGTAAACAGTCGGCACACTGATAAAGTGATTGTGTGTTGGAGTGACTCCTCGACAACGGTGGTGGAGGAGGATTGTGGACCGGTGACGGCAGTGATGGTCGATGGGCTTGCGATGGAAGATGTGATGGCGGCGGAATGGGATGAGAAGGACTAGGAAAGGATAGTGGAGCAAGAGACAAGCCAGATCCAACTCCGGGCCGGTTACCGATGGGACTGAGGTGGTGGATCGGATTCGGACCCGGATGTGGTTGACGACTGTGGAGAATCGAGTCTATACCGGGAGCTTGGCCCGATCCTTGCCGGTATGGAGGGTCCGGCGGATGAATGAGATTTCCGATGGGACTGGCCATGGCCGATCGATAGTGGGTGATGGCTTCAACACAGATCGAGTGGCTTCGGATGTAAAGACGCTGTTGAATTGCCACTCAACAACACTACTCTAGACAGTAGATAGCTCGGCTGTGGTGATAGTACAATGTCACAGGTGTGTCTCAACTCGAAGGTTTGGTACACGGATGTCCGTCCAGGCAAGCAAGCCGATCCGGAAAAGTGGGAGGATGGCGGGAAGGTTATTGATGGGTAAAGGTATGGTGGTCGATGGGGTTGATATGCCTGGTGTTTCGTCTACACGTGTAAAGTTGTATGGGTTGGTGTCCAGGGGAAGGGAACGATGGTAGGTCCCATGTCTTTACTATTATTTAGTTGAACATCTTCCTACAAGCCTCCCGTTGTCCGACTGAAAACCCAGGGAATTAGAATGACGCTTGGCACGACCTGGGCGGGAATAGCGATTAAAGAGTTGGTGCAGATAGTAGAGCACACCGGCCCCCGCACTAATGGCCATCTCAGCGGATCAGTAGCCCCCCTGACGGTTCCCTAGTCAACCCCTGTTCGGCTCGGATCCCGTCCACTTACCTTAACCTGCACTGACACAGGACCGAGACACTTGGATTTGTGAACATATCCACGGTGTGTTGAAGATCATCGCCAACTTTGTCGGACTGATAGGGAACCGGCAAGTTCATTTGTCTCGGCAATGTCAAAGGAGCTTCTTGGAATGGGAGTCTGGAAGGGGAGCAAAAGATAAACAATGAAGAAATTGGTCAGCGGAAAAAAAGAGACCAAGACCTCTTTTTGTAGTTTTGACTCAGGTTCCTGGGTTTACCATGTCGAGATGCCCGTTGGAAATGGACGGGATTTTCTAAATGTCTGATGCTGTACATATAGTGTACTGGTTGTCCCCTTTCACAGTGTACGAATCTGGGTACTCCCTGCAATCACCGTTCCACTATTGGTGATCACACCTTGGAACTGAGACAGAACTTGCCGTCCTAGGTGGGAGTCGTATACCTCCGCGGAGGAAGGCCTTTTGAGCCATCAAGGGCATCATCACTGGTCGATGACAGGTGGGTGGTGATGTGATGGTGATGCAGAGTGAGGAAGCAGTGCCGCAGTCTCCGGTACGCGGACATGCGGTGAAGGATAACACATTGTCAGCCCTGTCATCTCACCGTAGCGGAGTACACTCCGGGCAAAGCGAATCATGTGCCCCTGAAGAGCCGATATCGTTCCACGAGGATCGACAACATGGATGCATTAGTTAGTGGAGGAGGCTCGAATGATGTGTGATCCGCGTCGTCATCCTCACCAGCATCAGCGTCGTCAGCTCTTTTTCGTCGGGATCAAAAACCGGGTGATATTGATTAGCATTACAATAGCAACGATGGACTAGCGTGGTGAGTTCTAGGTGGTCAGTCTGTGACGAGGTTTTCCAGGTAGACTTGCAACAAAAAGAAACGTCGGGCCCTTTGCTCAGTCCGAATCCTCTTCGTAGTCGTCGGGCAACTCTTCGAACCGGCCCTCCTGAACCGCCTTGGCAACAGGGTTCTCGACATTAACGATTCCCAGCTTCCTCGCCCTGTGAAGAAAAAAAAGGGTCAGCTTTCGGTTTTCCGAGTTGACTGGAATAATGCAGTCACTTACCTCTCAAACAAGACAAACAGTCTCTCAGCCTCACGCTCCTTCTCCTCCATGGTCATCTCGGGCATATCCGGGAACGTCTCGGTATCCAAGAACTGGCCAGTAATGGGGTTGACCGCCCTCCTGCTGCTTTGACCAGCCTGGGAACTTTCGCCCTTCTCGGCATCGCCACCCAGCCCTTCGGGAACCGGGATGTTGTTCTGGAACAGGAAGCCAGAAGCATAACCGTATCCGATGTTTTCAACAAACCTGTTTGCGTCCTTGTCCGACACGTTGAACAGAAGGTGGGACACAGCTCTGGCAAACTCGGGAGCGATGGGGTTGGTCATGTTAGCTAGCAGCCTGGCGGGGAGGGTGTCGCCCTTGCCGAGAACCTTGGTACGCTCCTCTTCTGAGGGGAGCAGGCTCTTGCGGATGAAGTCACGGACGGGAGAGTCGGCTGGGGCATTCTCGTAGATGGAGGAGATGATGCAGGCTAGAGGGGTGACGGTTGCGTCGAGTTCCTGGTCTGAGTAGGCTTTGAGGGAGAGATGGAGAAGGGTGATGAGCTTTTCGGCGAGACTGGAGGGTGCGTCCTTGGGGTAGAGGCATGACCGTACTTGTTCGGAATCGAGCTTGAGGTTCATGAGCGCATTGACCAGAGGACCGAGGGGAGACTCGAGGGGCGGTGTTCCCTTTGGTGGGATATCCAAGCTGAGAAGAAGGGTCACTATATGCGGGACCGCAGCTGTGAAACAGTCCAGCTTGGATGGACATTTGCTGGTGACATTGAACAGGAGACGTAGTGTCTCTCCCAGGGCCATGAGTTCCATGGGGTCTGGCTTGGTCTTGTTCTTGGCATGCTCGGAGATTGTGGAGGCGTGGCGGGCGAGGTTCGCAACCATGCTCTCTGCCAGATGATGCTCATCGATGAGCTTGGCAAGGTCAACAGTGGTGCCGTAGGTGCTGAAGAAGATGACTCGGGTGGCCAGAAACTCGTCGTCCCAGTTGTCGTTCTTGAGCTTTTCGCAGGCCTTGGACTCATAGCCTAGGTCAACGAAGCGCTGTCGTGTTTCGGGTATGAGGAGCATGGCGTTGCAGAGCACACGGAGGGCATTTCGAGAGGTGGTTTCTGACGACGAGTCGAAGGCATGTTTTGTGAGAGTCTCAATGCCTTGCTTGGTGAAGATGGGGTCGGCATTTCTAGGGTCTCGGCCATACACCTTGAGTTCCTCCAGGGCCTTGTCTCGTTCTTCTGGCGAGAGACTTTGGCTCTTGAGGTCCTCGGTCAGTTTGTTGACAAGGGTGGTGACGGCTTGCAACTTGGCTAGATGGGTGTTAGTTTATGGATGTCCAAGGTGAATGAATGACTGGTAACTGACCTGGGCCAGAAACTCCTATTGAGGACATGGTGATGTGCTTGGTACAGTCAAAGGACTTGGTTTACCACGGTATGAAGTGAAATCCTGATAGAGAAAGGGTGAAATATATCGCAAAGTGGTGGTGGTTGATAGGTAGGTATCGATGTAGAGAAGCGGACAGAAAGTGGATGAAGACTGACTTGTCAGGATGACCGAAGACGGTGAACACTGTACTGTACTGTACAGGTAAGAAGAGTGAAAGTTACTTGATAACAGCGGCTCCACCTTCCGAATTGGATGTTTGATCCCAAGTTGAAGACTGAGCTTCAATCCACGCTTGACCGAGTCATCAAGTCTAGTCCCATGGGGCATGTGTATCTGATCATGAATTGGTATGTTTGTCCGGATCTTCAAACCAGTTCAAACTTCAACCTCTTGTCAAGAAAAAGGTTCTCCTATGATGCCGTGCACTAACATTTGAGTTGACCCAGCTCGCCAACAGGGGATCACAGCTAGCAGCTGTTAGCTTGAGCTGCTCATGTCCAGTGTTTCCCCTGATACACCACATGTTGGCCTAACATTGATGATCTGGCTCTTCAGTTCCTCCGGAAAAAGACTAAATCTCACAAGGGATACATTACCCAAGTTCCTTTCCGTGTTCGATGATAGCGTCAGGCCAAAGTGCGTCGTTAGGTGGTCTTGATAATCCAGTAGACCTAAACGCTTATGCCAACACCTCTAGACTACGTAGAAGAAAGCTGTGGGGAGACGGGACCCTTAAAGTGCCAGGAATGGAGACTTGGCGCGAAACCCCTGTAAATTAGTGGCTGCAAGACGCGATCTGCATCGGGCCGTCCATGTCACAGTCGCGACCGCGTTAAATCCTTTTAGTTTATCACCTGCGGATTGGCATCACCCACGGCGGCACAATCGTCACCGCCCGCCTGCGCTGTAGCCTCTGTAGCCTGAACAACGTGAAGAGGAGAGGAGATTTCTCTACTCTTTTTGTCGCCTTGGAATCGCACAACGACGGCGACCAAGAGATCACCACCCACGTTCCTTTTTTCCAACAAGTACTGTACCTACGCACTGTCGGTGAACTGGCGCTGGCTGAGTGTTGCTTGTCCTCTCTCCATTGTCTGTTGACTTTGACTTGACGTCTTCAACCAAGTCATTCTCTACCTACCTTACTTTCTACAGCTCAGCTCCCTTTGCTGTGATGAGCGACGAATGAGCCTCCACCATCTAGTGTAGCTCTCCCACTCGAAAGCACCGGCGTTTGTCCCCGTCTTACATGACATCCTAGGCTGGACCTACACGGCTGTCTGCCATCCGCCCCCCCGCCACTACGACGACCGGCTTTCCATCCAGATCATGTCCAATAACACGAATAGCCTCGAATCTCTGCCACCACGACCACCCACTCCACCAAAGAGAGAACCACATAATGCCCCTCCAGCGACCATCCCAAGAAATGTACTGGCCCCCATCGAGCTCGACAGCAACCTCAGGGCCGTCCATACCCCGCCTGCCCTAGACTCGCCCGGCTCAGGTCTCGACAGCAAATCAACCTCGAAACGAAGCACCAAACGAGTTGGCTTCTCGGCAAAGGCAGAATACAAAGACGCTCCAGTCTTCATCGACGGCGACAAGAGACAGCAGCCGACCCCCGTCTCCCTCCCGAGAAGCGCTTCCAAGCCTGTCAAGTCCATCCTCAAAATCACCCACCACGTCCCGAACCCTCTCGAGGAAGCCAACGGCAATCCGTCTGATCCCTCGAACCCAAACATCTCGGTCGCAACCATGTTGGAGTCAACCCTGAAGCAGCTCGCCGGCGGCGACCGCGACTCCAAGCTCGATTCCTACATGATGTTGACGCGCGCCTTCAAGATCTCCAACAACTTGCCAGACAGGGTGGCTTTGCAGGAAAAGATGGGCCTGTTCATGCAGTTCATGCAACGAGATCTTGTCGCCAGGACCCCTCAGGGCACCCTCGACTCCTCGCTTGTTCAGCATGCTCTCAAGCTCATCGTCACCTTTCTCGGCCTCCCTGCCATTGCCTCGACCATGACGACCGACTTCGGATCCTTCCTCATCGACCACTGTATCCGCTCCTTCCAAGACAACTCGACCCCAAAAGACACTGCTCGACATTTGATGCAGCTTGTCTTGGTACAGAACTTCTCGTCCAAGGTTATGACCCCTGAGCGAGTCGGCAGACTGGTCACGTCGCTACACAACATCGAGGAGAACATCAAGGGAAAGAGCATCATCATGTACCGGCTCATGATATACCAGAAACTGGTCAATCAAACGGCAAAGACCATGGTTCTTCATTCGGACTGGCTATACGACCTTTTCACCGACATGCTCAGCACAATAAAGGATATCCGCGAGAAAGCCGTCACCCTGGGCCTCAACGCTGCTTTCACCATCGGTCACGAGGTCCAGCTTTCGCGCAAGACAATGGAGATATTCAACTCGGTCGCCCAAGAAAAGAAATACATCGAGTACTACGAGGAGAGGCTGAAAGCCATGGTCAAGGACAAGACCGTATCCGCCTCGGTCCCCCACATCTGGAGTGTTGTCATCCTGCTACTACGGATCCGTCTCAGGGTATGGGACCGTACAGCGCATTGGCTGCAACTGGTCCAGAATTGCTTCAACAACATCGATTACCCTACCAAGATTGCCGCTCACCATGCCTGGGCCCGTCTGGTCTACTTGACAAATGCCGTAGAGCCGTCCTTTGAGGCTTCCCTCAAAACCATCATCACCCCTTTGACTAGTCAGCTCCGAAGAAAGAACAGTGCAAAGGCCTCGGAAGGACAACTCAGGGCAGCTGTCTTGGGTGATGTGTGCAATCTCTGGTACTATCTGTTTAAGCCCAATACAAATGCAGCTTTGCTAGATGGATACTGGACAGCTGGCGTCCAGCCCATCGTTACCGCCCTTGTGTCCAGTCCGGACCCTTCAAAACCAGTAACCGCATCCCCAACCAAGAAACCCCAGGAGACTCATGGGCAAGCAAGTGTCATTCTCAGCGGTCTCTTTAACTGCACGACAGCCAGGCGATGGAGTGTGGATCGAGTAATGGAGGAACCCCTCGCAAGACCCGAAGAGGTTCCCGCCATTGACGCAAAATGGGTTCGAAAGAACGCTGTCATGATTCTGGCTGCCATTGAGCCCATCCTCGCCAATGATTTTCATGCACTTTCCAACAAGAAGAGCGCAGTCTACTGGCTCTGGGCCTCTCTTGTTGGGTCGATCGCCTCTGCCGCATCTAAAGAGATTAAGGTCTCCAAAGACACAGGCTTGTTTATAACAGAAGCACTGTCTGTCCTGCAAAAGATATGGCAAAAGGGTGTGCAACCTGGAGATGCCGCTTCCGCAGTGGATTTCCTTCGCGCTACAAAGGGATATGTGGAGATCATGATAACTTCACTTGGCCTCCCCCCTTTTACAGAGAAGCTAGGCAAGGCTCAGGCCGGCCAAAAGTCGCCTATGCATAATCTGTTTTCTATGCTGTCTGGGCTTCCTTCTGGCATCCCTGACGACGGCACCTTTGAAGTCTTCTTCACTTCCGTCTTTGAACACTTTACCGAGGCAAAGAGTGAGAAAGGAAAGATGGAAATTGCCCTGGATTTGCTCACTTTGATTCCCATGGAGACACCACGCCCATATGGAATGTGGCTGTTTGTTGCGAGGGCGCTTGAGGGATGGCTCCAACTTGATCACAGTAGCAACCACTCAACTGGCTCCGGTGATACGCCCATAGGCCACGATTACCGTGATATCGTCAAGGTTCTCGAGCGTGGAATTAGGTCGACTCCTAACCTGCCTCCTGATCACTGGGAGTCACTTTTCAATGCTGTTCACCAGAGGGTCAGATTAGAAGCAGGAGAACCTGGTGTCGCCATTGTTGTCATCGAACCTCTAGCTAAAGTGGCACTGGATCAACTTACTACCCCGGGACCCATGATTGCTTTCTTTAACGGGGTCCGAAATGTCGCCGAGTTGTTGTCGATTGCGAGTCAACCACGCGACAAGCAAGCCGTTGACGCAGCTCGAAGACGGCTTTGGGGAACGGCCCTAGCTGGTTCGCGCTCAGCCACTTTCGACACGTTTGACAACTTGTACAAGGCTGTCAATGAGGCTTTGACACGGCTCTACAAGCAATTTGATTCGGATAATGCCGAACTTATCATCTGCCTTCTGCAAGAATTAGTAGGCTTTTTCGATAGGTGTAACCAACAACTCATCTTCAGGACAATGTCAATCCTTCAAGATGGCTTCCTCCCTTGGCTCCAAGACCCTAATAGACTGCTTGGCAGCCAATTGGACGCCATCGTGGTTGTGGTGAGTTATCCGTGTCGAGTAAACTGGGCAAGCATAGACTAACATCAGATAGACAAACACGCTCTGGGACAAGGTATGCGGTCATCTCTCGGCAACCGAACGCCCCGAGCAGCAGCTGGATTCACTCATGCGCATCTTCTGTGCCACTCTCGGTTCCTCTCATCGATACATTGTCAACTCGGCTGTATCCCTTTGGAACAGACTGTATGGCAAGGCTGAGAAGCTAGACTACCCTGATGAGCTCAAGGAAGTGCTTGCCAAACTCCGACCATATGCCGACCTGGTCACGCCCGGTCTAGAGCTTTCTAGCCTTGAGTATCCCTCCCACGAACCCATCTTTGTCGAGTCAAAGGAGGAGTTCAGCTTGCCTAGACTACCACCACCATCCTCAAGACGCACCACAAGAAGCGCCTCACGCACCAACTCACCAGTCAAGACGCCGGATCCTGTTAAGCGCAGGTCCCCAACCAAGCGACGTGCCAGCGCCACTCCCGAAGTCAAGAGCTCTGGCTTCAACCTCCGTCCCAAAGCGGGGGCACCACGTCTTCGGCACGATGACTCCCAAATCCAATTCGCGGCGGTTGACTCCTCCCCTCAACTACACCTCATCCATGAGGAAATGGAGTCCCAACTCCTCACTGAGCGCCAAAAAGAGGTCCGTGAGCGCCAAAAGGCAAACGCTGCGCTCTTCCCCGAACTTCGTTCCTCCCCAGCTACACGAACCCGAAGCTCAGCGCGTCTCGCCGCTCGCTCACGCGAGGCTTCCCCTTCAGGTGCTCAGACCCCTCAAGCTGGAACTCCCAGAAACCCAGGAGGCAGATTCACCGAGTTCGTCAGCGGGACGCCTACACCCCGTCGTGGCCAGGCGTTGACAGCGATTGTCGACCAGGACATGGACATGATGGACCCGCCCTCGTCGCCGCCGATAATGGAACCAAGGAGGAACCCGCTCGCCGCCGAGATAAGGTCCAGATCGGCGAACACGAGCTTGCTGGATGATTGGCAGCTGTCTTCATCTCCCATCTCTGGATCGCCGTTGCGCCAGCAGCCGTTTGCGCCGGTGCCGTCGAGTTTGGCTGTGGCTTTGGATGCCGTCAATGCTGCGGTTGAGTCGTCTCTTGCACCGGAAGAAGCGGCTGAGCAGGATTTGATGGAGGAGGATGATGATGATATTATTGAAGAGAGTGTGCTGCCCGACCAGGAGAATCAAGCTCTTCCGACTGTGGAGCCGGCTAAGGGGGGTCATCTGGGTGTGCCACGCCAGGAAACGCCGGAGAAGTCGGACCATGAGCTGGAGGAGTTTGTGGATGCGCCTAGTAGCCCGTTACCGCCGACGCCGCATAAGGTAGGCAGAGCCGCGGCCAAACCTGCCATCCAGGCCAACACAGACCCGGCGAAGAAGACCGTACCTACTCCCGCCTTTGCAACTGCACCCACCAATGCTCCCGCTGCCACAGCGGTTGTACCCGCGCCCACCCCATCAGGTGCCCCATCTTACGACGGCGGCGAATGGGACGACCGGTCCCTCCTCAAACTCGTGGTTGAGCTCGACTCAGGGAAGCTCGATAGACAAGAGTACACCCGTCCATCTCCCTCCGTTTCGCCCGAGAAGCTGGCTCTCACAGCAGCGAACCTCAAGCCCAGTTCCAGTTCTAACAAGCCTGTTTCCGGTCCCACGTCAGCTGCCCCTTCCCCCGCTGCTTCGTGCATCGTTGCTTTGGATGACGATAACATAGTGGAGGAGGAAAGCGAGAATCTTCAGGTTCCAAAGCCGGTGGCACCTCGAGGGCGGGTGACGAGATCGCGGGCTAGCTCTGTGGCTTCGAACCGTTCTGTGGAGCAAATTCCGAGTTCACAGGCGCAACAGCAGCAGGCGACAACACAAGAAAAAGGGAAGTCCAAACTCAAAGGTCCGACGAGCGCACGAGCATCGGCCGGGAAGGGGAAGAGGAAGAGGGTGGCTTCTGCAGCTTCGGAGACTGCTGCTGCTGCTGCTACGGCTCCTGGAACTGGAAAGAAGAGGAGGATTGGACGTCCTTCGTCTACTGCGCCGGCGGAACAGGAAAAAAGGGAGGTTCAAGTTCCAAGGAGTCAGAGCCAAGAAGGTGAGTCCTCCTTTTTAGTGTCCTCTTTGGGAACGACACATGCTAACGGTCATGTTACTGCAGTCCCTCCTAAATCCGAACCTATCTTTTACGACCGTCTCCCTATCTCTGTCGCATCCTCCTCCCAGTCGTCGTCGTTGTCTCACATAGCATCCAGCCGTGCCTCTTCGGTGGTGTCTAACTCGGTTCTTGATGAGCGAGCTAGGGGTTTTGTCCCTGGCGGCAGTGGGACCCAGCGCACCGTGCCTTCTTCCCTCCTCCCTCAGCAAACGTCGCAGTTGTCTACACCTGCGTCGGTGCCAAGGGATGCGGGTGATGCGGGTGATGCAGCTGAGCAGCAGTCCCAAGGGACTCAACAAGGACAGGTTCCAGAGATGGAGGAGGTATCCTCCGATGGCGAAGATCTCGTCCAGTCGCAAATAGAAATAGAGTCTAGGAGTGCGGATGAGAGACAGTCGCTATCTATGTCTCAGGTGGAACATGGTTTGGAACACTACTTGGAGGAGGAGGAGGAGGAGGACTTGATTCCGAGTTCGCCGTTTATGGCTGTACCAGCTAGTGGAAGAAGTGGAAGTGGGAGTGGGAGTGAAGTCTTGGTGGAGGATACGGTTCTTTCACCGGAACCAAACCAAGGAGGACAGGAGGAGGAAGAAGAAGAAATGGAGGTTGATGAACCACCACCACAACAACAACAACGAGAGGTGGGAAACAACAACAAGGGGACGTTAGCAGAGCAGCAGCAGCAGCAGCAGCGTCACCAGAAACATTGGGTGATTGGAGAGAAGAGGCTGACGGAGGACGTTATTACCAGCGCGCCACCACCACCACCACCACCCGGCGGAAATTATCACCCAGAAAGTCTTGGGCAGCAGCAGCAACCGCAACAACAACAACAACAACAACAAAATCAACCTGGCGAGGAAGCCGTTCAGCGACTGGAAGCTTCTTTGGCAAACAGCAGCAGCAGCAGCAGCAAGGAAAGCAGCAGCAAGGAAAGAATCCTCTCGTCCCTCCGCGCCAGTCTAAACGAACTGCGCACCGCAACGGCAGCAGGCGGCCTGTCTCGGCAAGAGGTGTACGAGATTGAAGACTTGTTTATGGATTTGAAGAGGGAGTTGTATGAGGCGGAGAGGAGGGGGAGGTCTTAGCCTTGTTTGTCTTTGATTGCTGGTTGGGCACTACGTGTGTGAGTGTTGTATGTATTTGTGTGGGGGTATTAGGTTAGCTCAGGTTAGGTGTGGGGGGGGTATGGATGGATGGATGGGTATGGTATTGGCTTTCAAGGCGTTGCTGTTGTTGTATTGTTGTTGGAATGAAATGGCTTTTTGTAGCTGTTAATTAGGTATATGGCTGAATGAAGAGAAGGCGCGGTTGTCTGGACTGGTTACCTAGGTTAGAATAAGAGTTGAGTGCTGGGTTCGTGAAGGTGGTAGGAGTTGGTAACTATGATTGATGTTTGGGTCAAGTTGAGATCCTTGGTACACCTACCTACTCCGAACTCCGAATTAAAGAAATGAAAATACTTGGTGTTGGTACTAGCTAGGTACTAATCACCCGTCCAATGAACCTCTATTTACTCTCATCTGCATTCCTACACAAAAAGCAATCGCCCACCGATCTGGTTCATCCGATCCATTCTGATCTGCTAGTTACGACCATAATTGCTCCCAGGATCGCCCGATCACCCGCCCCATTTATGTGGAGGGGCCAGGGGCATGATGGCCCTGAATCGCCCCGAATTTCCAATGATAGCGGCCACCTAGTCTAGAGATCCAAAGTAAGGGAACCGCTGTGGAGATAAGGTTGCCGTGCAGTTCCGTTGTCATCCACCTGGTGGTCGGGCATCAGGGTTCAGAAGGTCAGGTCGTTCTACATAGTAGACAAACACTAGGTTGCCCGATCTTGCCCCGAATTACAGTTGGTACCTACCTAGGTAGTGGCGTTCACAGCCCAGCGGCGGGCAGTTTTGAGTTCAGTTGTTAGAGGTAGGTAGGTAGGTAGATGACGCTAGAATCGATAGGTAGGTAGTGTTCCGTCTCACATATTTTGCAGGTTTGTTTGCTTTTTCCATCTCCATTTTTTACTCATGATCGACACACGTCCGTCCGGGTGATGATCACGCGGCGCGCGGCGGCGGCGGTGACACAATTGATTATTTCTACACTACCTACACTAGATTGGCGGCGCTTGGAGGTTCGTTCAGCTGTGAGACATACAGCTGTTCTTTTTTTTTTTTTTTTTTTTTTTTTTTTTTTTTTTTTTTTTTTTTTTTGGAAATGATTCTCACCACCGCGGCCTTTCATTTATTTATTTGCAAAAATTCACCTTTTTACATTTCCATCTCCAACGAAAACATATCCGAAAATTCCCTCCTCTTTCTTTCTTTCTTTCTTTCTATTGACGGCCCGCCGCTGCAACGCAACGTACCCCAATCCGACCTACCTACCGTAACCGCACGCAACGCAACGCAACGCAACGCACCCCTACTTCCGCCGTTCGTGCCCGTTCCGTTGAAGGCCTGCCTACCTGCAGCTACCTACCTACCTACCTACCTCTACAGATACACCAGGCGATACGACATGACATGACAAGATGTCACCCCTCACATCAAGCCTCACCTCAACACCACCACCACCACCACCAGACGCCACAATCAACCTCGCAGCCCACTACCTAACCACCTACCGCTCCATCTTCTACCACGCCCTTTACGACACCCCCAACAAAGTCCAACCGTTCCTCATCCCCTTTTGCCTCGTCGGCGCCTTTCTCTTACCCATTGCGTTTCTCTGCATCCCGCAGTACACCATCAAAACCACCACCACCGGGGAGAAAAACCAACAAGTAAGGGTCCGAAGGGAATGGGTCCATCGGCTGCGATGGGTCGTGGGGGGTCTGCTTGTCTGGTGGAATTTGGGGGTGGTGGTTGGGTTGCCTGGTTTTGGAGGGCCGTCAACGGAAAGAGGAGAGGGATGGTTCACGCCGGGCACAACAACAACGGCAAGCGCTTGTACGGCTTTGTCGTATGCGGCTGGCTTGATGGGTGGGTGGGGAACGATTTGGGGGTTGGAGACGGTGGTGTTTGGGGGGTATCAGGGTGTGGCGATGAGGGTTAGGAGGAGGTTGAAGAATGATCATGGTGGTGGTGGACAGCCAACTCGGACTCAGACTCAGGGAGAGAAGGGTGGTATTGTGAATGGGAACACGAACATCAGTGGAAACGGCAACGGCAACAGCAATCCTGATACAGCAAACTTGCGGCGAAGAAACCTCAACGGGAGTGCCAAGGTTGCTTCATCGGCTTCTACCGATACCGAGACACAAAGTCCAGGCGAAAATGAACACAAGGAAAAGGAAAAGACATGGATGGTAGACGAAACGATCGACCTCGACAAGTACGAGTACTACTGGGAGCCGTACCCGGACAACGGCACCATTTGGGAGAGGCTCGATTGGGTCATGGACATGTTTAATTCCTTCCGGGGTGCTGGTACGTTTTTTTTTTTTTTTTTTTTTTTTTTTTTTTTTTTTTTTTTTTCCCTTTCCTTTTCCCTTTTTCTTGTTCGTTTCCCCCTCCCTTTTCGTATACACCATACTAACTCCCACACAAAGGCTGGAACTACTCCATTTCATCCATCCCCTCTCTCCAACCGCCCGTTATCCCCCCTTTACCAGAATCCACCACCACCACCACCTCTCCGGTTTCCTCCCATTCAGAAATCCTTCCCTACTTCCCAACCGGCCTCCCCGTCTCCTTCGCCAGCCTCCCCGTCTCATCCCACCAACACTTCCACCGCCCCCTCACCGCCCGCTCCTTCCTCCTCTCTCGTCTCCAGCACATAATCTGGTCCTACCTCGCCCTCGACTTCTTCACCGTCTCCGCCCGGTTAGACCCCTACTTCATTCTCGGCCCCAACGGTCCCCTCCGTCATCCCACCTACCTCTCCTCTCTCGCTTCCTCTTCCTCTTCTTCCTCTTCTTCTACTACTCTCCCACCTTTATCCCTCGCCTGCGCACGCTTCTTAGCAAGCCTACCGCCCTGGGGCCTCAACTTCTTCCGAAGCTTATTTTCTTTAAGCGGCGTACTAGGCGGCTTGATTCTATACAGCTACCTCTGGCAATTAACCCAGTTTTTCGTCTTGGGACGGTGGTTAAGACTGGAAAGCCACGGGATGGGGATCCTAGATGAGTTGTGGCGGTATCCGGATCTGTTTGGGGGGTTTGTGAGGAACGTGCTGGATCGGGGACTAGCTGGGTTTTGGGGCGGGTGGTGGCATCAGAGTTTCCGAGTCGGGTTTACGGGGCCGGTGAGGTTTTTTTTGGTTAAGCAAGGGGGGGGTTTTGGCGGAGGAAAGATAGTGGGAACGGTGGACGAAAAAGGAAAGAAGAAGAAGAAGAACAGTACTAAAAAAGGGGTAGCCATGACGGTACAAATGGCCACCGCCTTTTTCCTCAGCGGCTTTCTGCACGCCCTCGGCGGTTATTCATCCACCGCCTTCCGCATCAGTTTCGCAGGGCAAGATCTCCTAACAGGCGACAAACGAAACAGACTAGCGGGCTTTGCTGAACCCGTCGGGTTTTTTGTTTTTCAGTTTTTGGGGTGCCTGGTCCAAGCCCTTCTCATCGCCATCATCAATAACAGAGTCGCCGCCCCCACTCGAGAGATGCCAAGGTGGTTGAAAAGAACAGGAAACGGCCTTTTCGTGCTGCTGTGGCTGCATTCAACTAGATGGATGTTGATTGACGACATGGCAAGATCCGGACTATTCCTGTATGAACCAGTGCCCGTTTCGCTGTTTAGGTTGTTGGGGCTGGGAGGGATGCCGGGTGAAGGGAGAAGGGATTGGTGGAGGTTGGATTGGGAGTATGTGCCTAGTTTGTGGTTGGGGAGTAGGTGGTGGGAGAAGGGGTTTAGGATGTGAGGGGATAAATGGGAGAGAATGTGCAAAGGGGGGAAGAACAAGGAAGGAAGTGTGTTGTTATGAAGGGACATGGGATAAGGATCTGGAAATGAACGGATGGAAGAATGAAAGTGTTGGATATATCGATAAACTCAAGCATGGCGTTGGAAAGAAAATCAAAGGAGGAAACAGGGATAGAAGGTATTCATAGATGGACATGGTATCGTTAAGCTATAGACCCAAAAGACATGAACCTACAGCCTTCAATTTCAAACCCTAACAGGAACTTACTTCCCTCGCCACCTCAACCAACACCCTCGTATCCATCCTCTTCTTTTTATCTCTCATCACCTTCTCAATCTCCCCCTCCAACCACCTAATCACCTCCCTATACCCCGCTTGTTTTCTCACCAGCACCTGTCGACAAGCAACCATGGCTAACCACGCAACTTGCCCTTTACTAACAGAGCACTGATAACCAGGATATCTTTGCTTTCTGGATTTACTCGTCAACAGACGGTACGCCACTTCAATCAGGGACTTGATCGTATCTGTTTTGCGCGCGCGTAGTATATATATCAGCTAACCTGTCTGTGTACTTAAGTGTCTTTCTTTCTTTCATGATTACCTCCAAGATATGACAGACGGACAGGAATATTCAAAAGGCAATGACACAAGAGAAGAGAGAGAGAGAGAGAGAGAGACACATACCGATGACTAATGCCGTCCCTGGTTTTCGTTTTCGTTGGGTGGTGGTGGAAAGACAGCGAGCGTGCGCCCACATCTTGATGGCTGTTTCGATAAAGGCCGAGTACAAGTTGCGGAGGGTGGTGCGGAAGGAGTTGTGCGTGGTGTCGAAGAAGAGGAGGTGGGATTGGATTTTGAAGGCGTCTGTTTTTTTTTTTTTTTGTCAGTCAGCTTTCATACACCTATTTTCATGGAACCTGAAGGGGAGAGAGAGAGGAAAGGAAGAAAAGAAAACTCACTCAACACCTTCCTCCTGAAATTCCGTCCCTGATTCCTCGAATACTCGACCGTAATCCCATTAAACACCACCGTATCCCTCTTGTTCTGCACCTCTCCCCCAGTACCAATCCCAGTACCAGACTTACAAATCTCCAACGTCCTCGTATCAATCGTCAACCCGCAATACGGAAACTTCGTCTTCCTCCCCCTCCTCAAGTTTGATACTCGAGTACCACCAACGCAAACATCAAAATTAACCAAACTCTTTTGCGCAGAAACACTCACGCCATACTCTGCAAGCCCACGATGCATCACCTCCACAAACCGCCGCGCTTTGGACGGCGAGGTGGTGATGAGGAGGAAGTCATCTATGAGACGCATCAATAGGGTATTTCCGTCGCGACTTATCCCCCTTCCCTCGTCATTATCATCTTCTCCTGGGGTTAAACCCAGGAAAGCCAACCCTTGAGAGCGTTCGAGATCAGCGTAAAAGTAGTTGCATAACGTGCTGGAGAGCACGGAACCCTGGGGTATCCCCGTCTTTTGGCGGTAGTACTTCTTCCCGATCTTGACGAGGTTTTGGGTGATGTGTTCTTTGGCGAGGGATAAGAGGGAGGAAGAGGTGTGTAGTTTGGTGGAGGAGTGTGAGGGGATGAAGAGGGTGTTCTTTTTGGTTGTTGCCACTAAATCTTGTTGGGGGAGGATGGATGTTGATGGGGAAGTGGTTGTGGTTGTTGTAGTGGTAACTGAGGGAAAGGGCGTGGTGGTTGAGTGCCAGCGTTTGGTTGGTTTTAGCTTATATTTTGGGTTGTTGATGTTGGTGTCGTTGTTTGCTGAGTTATGTTCGTAATCCAACGGAAGACTGACCTCGACGTGTTTTGATTCCTTATACACCCCATGCCCCGGAATCTTTTCCAGCAACTCGACCATTGCCGCTTGTGGAATGGTGTCGAAGGCCGCTTGCACGTCCACCTTGACGAAATAAAACTTTTTCTCCTTTCCGCCGCCCTTCTCCTCGCTCATAACCCGAGCTCGAAACCCCTTCACCCTCTGATAAATATCCCCCACAGCAAACATCCCCCCTCCCAACAACCCTGGCCGTTCCCTCTTTTCAAACTTCAACATGGAATTCACCGGTCCCAGTACCGAATTGATACTAGGCCCCAGAATCTGCTTTTGCGTTCCTCGAATACCTTTACTCCCAAACCCTCTAAGCAAAACCCTCCTCCTCAGATTCATGATCGGCCTCAGGTTACTTCCCACCCCCTTCGGCAACAACCTCACCTGCGAGAACCCCAACTTCCTTCCCTCCAGCCTCTTGACCGCTTCTGCGCCCTTGACCTCCTCAAACATTTTCGCTTTCAGACAAGTGAGGGCCGGCTTAGTGACAGACAGCCAGACATCATGTCGGAAGAAAAACAATCTGTACCGATGTGCCGAGCTTTCGGTAACATAAAAGTTGGACCGGATCAGAGGGATCAAGAGCGAGTCAAAGGTGTAATAGAGAAATTCGAGGTAGATTTCTTTTCGCTTGTTGAGCTCGGGCTGGGAGCACTTGTGCGAGGATAAAGCTGGAGATGCCAACCAGGGAATGGAACAGAGTTTCATTCCTTGGACGAGGTGGTGGAGGGTCATGGATTCGAAGCGGCGAAGGCGGATGAAGGCGTCGATTTGTTTGAGGAAGACTGACTTGTTATGCTGTTGGGTAGCAGTAAGGTCTTCTGACGAGCCCCAGAAGTCGTTGGGGATGATTTTCGATAGAACAGCTTGGCAAAAGGCTGATATGCTCGAGATAGGGGTAGCTAGGTCCAGAAGAGAGTAAGATTGGGAATCAAAATTCGTAATGGCAGCAGCTGTAGAAGGTGGACGAAGATTCCTGCGGTTCTTTTGGGATGACTTTGAGGGGCGGGCTGGGATTCTGAGTGGACTTGACTGTGACTTGTGCTCTGGTTCTAGTTGTTTCGGTAGCTGTTCGAGTTAGCATTGCTTTACTCAACTCAGAGGACCAAGAGAACTCACAGGACAATAATACTGCAGCATCTCAGCATACGAACATCGCCTATGCAACACTTGCAACTTGAGAACCAAGTCTTGCGTGTTACCCCTGAGTCTCTTGGGTATCTTGATCTTGGGCCGCTCTCCCTCGGCCGGTTTTGGTAACTTTTTTGCTATCTCATCTTCGCGAAGAGTGTAGTCTTGGAACTTTTGCGCAGTCTGCTGGCGATCTACCACCGAAGTGAAGACATTGTGAAGCCCGAACTGGCGAGGAAAGATGTACATCATCACATGAGTGGTGCTCTCATCCGGTTTACTTGCCTGTTCCCCTTCAGCTGGCTTTTGGCACGGAAAACGGTTTAGAACGTCTACAATAGTCAGTTTGCGTGTCCTCATGCCCACGATGGAAGCTGAACCTACGAATATGCCTTAGCCCAAAGTGAACCAACCCCTTTGCATTCAACGCCGCTCTGGCGTATAACATTCTGTTTCTGGCAAAGGTGATTTCCAAAGGACTCAGTTCCTGGTTCTCACCACCGGCCCCACCAGTGCCCTTCAAGTCTTTTCTGGCAGCAAAATCCGTTCCCAACGACCGCGGTTGCAGTTCCGAAACAGGAATCCCACTCACTTGAACCAAATTCCCCTTTCCCTCCTTCACACCTACAAACACGGCACAATCCAGCAACAAATCCAACATGATCCTCTCCCCTTCTTTTCCCAGTAACATCAAAAACTGCGGCCACGGCGCCTCCTTCAGCACCTTGACACAGTTATTCTGATGAAGCGCATACACACCGGGTATCTGATGCTGATGACGGGCGGTTGTTGCCATGTCCCCAGATCGACCCTGCGGAGGGACTCCCTTCCGGAAACCATCACAGAGTAAATGTCTCGGCCCGGGCCATCCGTTCCCAGTTTTTGTCTTTTCTCGGAAAGATGCTGAGCGGGAACGACGGGAGAATAATAGCCAGATGACAAAGTCGACTATGTCGGACTGCGAGTACATGGCCCCCTTTAAGCCATCGGACAGGGTCACATGGGACTCGTCACCTTTGGTTCCTCCTCCGCCTTGGGAGAAGCCGACCCATTGTTCCCAGCGGTAATCAGACTTTTCTTTCTTGGAAGTGATGTCTGATGGAGGGTCGTGAGAGCAGACCAGAGTGGTGTCTAGGAGGGTGCCTAGGGCTTGCTCAAGTGCTTGGGCAGCGGAGGGTTTCTCCGAGGCTGGGGCAGGGGCAGGGGAAGGAGAAGGGGAAGCGGAAGACAGGCCGAGTGCGGCGATCTTCTTCCGGCGGATTCTGGATGTTTTGGGAAGTTTGGACAGTGCGTATTGACGGAGAGTGAGGGTTTGGGGATAGTAGATGGAGAGGAGGGTTTGGGTGATGGGATTGGGGACTGTTTCTTTGACTAGTTTTGGGCGTTTTCTAGGTGGCTCGGGCCGTCCCTTGGATCCCCAAGTTGTACTGGTTGAATCCAGCTCAAGGAAGCTGACGCTCTTTCTCTTGGCCGACATGATGGTGATGGTTTGGGAAAATTTGATGATGCATGCTGGAGCCTATGAAGGGCTCGGGAGAAGGAGCTGGCTATGTAGTGATTGGAGGGAGGATTGAATTGGTTCTTGGCAAAAGTGAAGCACCAGTCGGATAGGGGAAAAAAAAAAAAAAAAAAAAAAAAAAAAAAACAATTGACAGGTTCCGTTGTCGCTGGTGAAACGGCGCGACGACCGCGAAAAGGTGATTGATGAGTGACGCGTCAAAGTTGGAGATGGCGACGGGAATACTAGAATTGGAGACATGGGTGGTTCAGTTTGCTTTTCAGGTCCAGGGGCAATGTTGGGGTAGAATGGACATTGGACGAATAGGCACCTTGTGCGCTTGTGAGACACTATCACGGCTTTTACGAGGGAATGAGTGTTAGTGGAACTGCGCCTATCACACAGTCGTACAGTGCAGTGCATTATCAGATGGAGGTATGGATGTTCATTACCTAGACAAGCTCCACCCGACGTCCAATGCAGTCAGTCCCTCTTCCTTCCCATTTCGAAACACAACGGCCACAGAAGTGGAAAGACCCAAGACCGGACGTGTTGCTTCCGACGGACTCTGCCAGTGCCCGCTTGTGTGAGGTGTGTGCGGCAGTGGCACAAGCGGAAGATGGAAGGGAAAGGGCAGGTGAGGGACATGAGGCAACACACACACTGCACTTGGCTGTAGCGAGAGGTAGTAGTAAATACCCCGGACTTGTCTGATTGGGCGACATGTACAACAGCCCAGCCATTAACACTTTTTCCCTGCCCGCCCGCTCCTTCCACTCAGGCAGGGCAGGCCAGTGGATGAAGGGAACCTCAATGGCTGATGCGCGCAATTGAGGAAGCCACGAGGGGGGGACGCCACAGTGTTTCGAGACTTGCACTTGGTTGCCCGTCTTTTACCTCCTTTTGTTAGGTGGACAAGACAGACAGGCCAGTCTCCTTTAGTTTTGCTTCTCTCCTTTTCCACCCACCATTTGCTGCAGTTCCCCAAACACCGGACATTTCTTTTTGGTCACCCACAACGTTGCAGTGGTACCTGCTTCGAGTCAACACTGCTACTACCTACTACAGTAGGCACAGTATAGGGTTCCACGGCCGGCCTTTTACAGGACAGTCTTGGTGACGGGTAGACGCCCACTGCACCTAGGTAGTGACACTGTCCCCTCCTCCATCAGCAAATATCAATCAACATCACCACTCGATACGACATTGACCACCACCTCCTCTATCAATGGGACCTGCATTCAGCTTGTCTCGCATCGGGCCGTGATGATGACCATGATGCTGCTGCTGCTGACTGACTTGAGGAACTGCCCGTCAGCCAGGGTCCGGGTTTGGACTAGGTTGGTAGTGTATTCTAGTTTAGTGTACAAGCAGATTTGCTACTGCATAGGGGTCTCTGCACTACTTGTAGGTAGCGTGCTTGGCAGAATCCACACTGGTACAACTTTATACTGATGGTCGACGGGGGAGAAGGGGTTCTGGAAGGTCATAACAGATGACTCTATCCAGATACCGAAATGGTCAATTGACTCCAATTCCATGCCTACGCTTGGACATGTGTCAAAATAGAGCCAGATTGACGAGTCCATAATCTTATCTCGTTAATAGTGTGTGTAAACATAGGTGGAAGAGCAAGTCTGCAAGCAGCGAGGCATGGAAGAATGGAATGCAGACGCCAGGGGAAAGAGGGGAACTTGGGTGATCATGGTGGTACTGTACCAAAGGACCCCTGGTCAGAGACGGGATTGAAGATTGGTGGTTCCTGTTTTTTTTTTTTTTTTCTTCTTCTTTTTCCGCTTCTTCTTCAGATTCGCGACCTTCATTCAACCTTCAGTATTGACTCGCAGACCTCCATCTCATCCCGCCCAGGAATCTGCATATCGACACGTCGTCACTAGCCTCATGCCCTGACATCCATCTCTCGGGCTGGCATGCTACCCCAAGTCAAGTAAAGTGGTATTCAGGGTGCTGTAGTCTAGACAGGACATCCTGGTGCACAAAAGGTACCCAGTAGCCCCTGGCCTGTGTGTCTGTGTCTGTGTCTGTGCATGGCCGGGATGATATCGACATTTTAGAGAGTACCTAAGGAACCGCCCGTTCCTAACACCGACCGCCTGTTACGTACTATCGACACTTCAGTTCCTCTGACGACAAAAACAAGAACTGAACTGAACTGAGCTCGCCCCCATCCCAAGTTACCCCCTCCTTCAGCTCAGCTCTTTCCCGTCCCGCGTTTTCCATACCGCGAACAAGACTGGACAGGGGGGCAGACGGGTGCAAAACTCGTCACCGTGTAGGATCAGAGCAGAGCAAAGAGGTGAATCCAGAGCTGAGTGGGCAGCCGTCACGGTACTATACCGCCTTCCACATCTTCAAGGAGAAACGGGGAAAAAAAGTCACAAAAAGTCATAACCGTACTGCCCTTAAAGAAAAGGAGACAAAACGTAATGGATCACGGCAGCATCCGGATCCAAGAAGAGGAGGAGAAGGCTGCTTCAACTACTAATCTTCATACTTTGGCCCACGAGCTTGGTGGTGGTTCAGGTTCCCGTCGTCATATTACCCGCTCAAAGTCTCAGTCACAGTACAAGCATCACCACCACCACAACTACCATTCCTCTCTAGACAATCTTGACCGTCGAGCCCCAGACTTGTACCGGTACCTCGAGGCCAAACCACCCCACGACGGCCACCACCCACACCACCACCACCACCACACCCGTCCACCACCACGCCGCCGTGATTTCCACCAACAGGACCACGGCTCATACTTCCCCGAACACTCCAGTCCCACGCACCCGTCTGCGCCTGCGCCCGCGCCCGCACTAGACTTTGAGGCCCGACCCAGTCACTTGGCCAGCCCGTCAGCCAGTTATACCAGCTATTCAGCGAGTCGACTAACAAGTCCCTTGGCCAGCCCTCGACTAACAAGTCCAGCGCAAAGTCCCCTGGCCACCAGTCCGTCTGCCTCTGCCCACAGCCTCAGCCAAAGGTTTCCATTTGCTTCCCATGCCGCCGCCGCCCATCATCTCCAGGCCTTTGCCGCCAATCCGCGAGTTTCCGGGTCGCTAAACCTGCAACCAGACGACTATTATCGTAGCTTTGGAACAAGTGATGCCGCCGTCGTAACAAGCAGGACTGCGGATCCAATCAAAAAGAGTACCTTGGCACCTACCTCAGTCCAACAGCAACAGCAACAACAACAACAACAAACGCTTCCCCCATCCACCTCTCCAGGGTCACCTTCGAATGGGGCCCTAAAGCCATCCGCCTTGCCTGCTGCTGCTGCTGCTGCTTCCGCTGCTGCTGCTGGCACCACCAAAATGTCCGGAAGCAGCCGTAGTACACATACTAATCCACAAACACCCAGCGGTGCTCGATCGGGACTCCGCTCAGCATCGAATCCCGTCGACGATCGCCTTGGCAGCAATGCCAGGCCGGCGCTGACAACAGCTAATTCGTATGGCACACAAGGTGGGGCTCACCCGCCCAGCGTCAAGGACCTCAAGAAGATGTTCGACCAAACAGGGACATCCCACAATACCAATCTCCCAAGCCAGCGAAGACAGCCGAGACCCTCGAGAGACCAGACTACTTCCACCATATCCTCCTCCTCCTCCACCACCGCTTCCGCTTCCCCAATCAAGGGTCCATCTCCCAGTGTTGGCGCCCGAGTTGCCTCCTATTCGGCGGCACGGTCCAGGAATACCACGACGACGACAAGGACGACGACGACGACGACGACGACGACGACGACGACTTCTCCCGCGACAGCGACAGGGACATCTTCGAGAGCGACATCGATACGACGAACGCGACAAGACCCAACCAACAATAGCCCATCCCAAACATACCGATCCCGATCCAGAAGTATACCGCGACCGCGACCGCGACCCAAACTCTCGACCGACGACCGAATAACAGATCGCAACTCCCAATCGTTCGCAAACCGAATCAGCAAGCCTCGGAATAATAACAACAGCAACGGTGGAGCTGCCGCAAACGGCCCGGCATCCAGGTCGCTGCCGCAGCTGTCCCCCACCACCGGATTGCCGTTACAATCCTTGTCGCGATCGAATGGGCTGCTCTTTGGCGAGATCCTGCCCGACGAACAAGACTCGGTCACGGCTGGGTTTGGCATCCAAGGCCACCACCTAGAAGGGGCTCGTCCCCGGCGGACTTCCGAGTCGTCCAGCATACATGACCTCACCATGTCCGGACCCCGCCTGCGAAGCTCCTCTCACTCGGATACTATGGGAGATATGGAGCCCTCGTCTCCAACTGACTGGTACCGCGGGGCGGCCTCTGCGCTGCCTACTACAGATAATCTGGCTAGGGTAGCAAAGAACCACTCTAGAGCCCAGAGCGATGTCGTTGTCTCATACGCGTCCACCAAACAACCCTTGTCCACCAGCCATACCCGGTCCGGCCGTGGCACTGCGACAACGACAACAAGTAGCAGCAGCAGGGCGACCAACACGGGCCGGACCACCCCTTCCACACCGACCACGCCCCTATCCTCCACCTCGCGCCTCCCCGTCATGGTGAAAAGGGCTAGTATTTCAGAGAGCCACGGAAGAAGCAGCCCGGTGTCCACGCGATCCAACTCCCCCGTCGCCGCACTAAAATATGGACCAACCCCTACCAGCGGAAGATCGTCCCGCCAGCAGCATGGGACACCAGTCTCAAGGGCTAAAACACCTGCCACCCGTTCGCATACCCCTACCACGCCCGCGACCACCACCACAACCGCCAAGCGCCTCCAGACCTCGAATCGAAAGGCTGCTCCGACCAACATTGCGACTCCCAACAATAATAACGGCCGGCTCAACGCCTATGTGTCTGTGCCCGCTCCCAAACTCTCTCCTTCGCTGCGAAGCTCGCGACCCCGGCAGTCCGTGGCCACTGCTTCGACCGCGGCTTCCCGGATGAGATGCTCCACCGACCGACCGCCGTCCCCCGACAAGTCGAACCGCCGGGCTGGATCAAAGGCCGACAACGCTGCCACCATTCGACGACGAAAGCTGTCCGTAGGACCCATCGATTTCGCCCAACGACGAGAGACGATCAAGCTTGCCTACAGCAGAACCATCAAGGACCAACAAGCCAAGGAGGCCAGGGAGACTGCGGCGGCGGACAAGCGCAAGATGGACTTGGATACTGTCACCCGCGCCGAGGCCAAGGCGGAAGCTGCCGCTCTTGCTGCAGCGCCATCAAGCAAATCGTCCGATTCAGTAGACCGAGGAGAAGCAGCAGCAGCAGCAGCAGCAACAGCAGGGAGACATACAGACAAGAAGGGGCTTGAAGAGCCTCTCAAGCTTATTACCAACCTACCCATAATACAGACACCGGCGCAACCACCTGCGAGCAATGGCCGTGATTCACCAACGTTAGGAATACCAGGAGGCTTTGTCGATAGTGACGACGAGCTCGATGTTCCAATACCGCAATCAGCCATATCCGTTGCTACCGCAGTGACCGAGTTCGATGAGGAAGCGCAAACAGAGCCACCACGGCCCGAGAATTTCGCAGCGATTGACTATGCCTTGGGAAATATCGTCATAGACCATCAGCCACCAAGTCCACGAACCCATGAACCGCCAGCCCCGACGCCTCCATTGGCGTCACCTTTGGCGGCACCCCAAAGCAAGCGGTTATCCTATCATTCTCCATTTGACGACGATGACGATGTGGACGACGACGATGATGTGTCTATCGAGATTGCGCTGGATACGTCCGTGCAGCAACAGCAGCAGAAGCAGCAGCCCTCGCAGCAACAGACGCCGACTCGGGAGGATTTCACCACGACCGAGCCAACCACGGGTCCTGCGCAGCAGCAGCAGCCAGATGCAGACGAATACGTGCTCCAACCGTATACATTTTCATCCCAAAATTACGAAACAACGGTCACGATATTGGGCCCCGAAAATGATTTTAGACCGTTGTACAAGGACCAAGCTCGTGACACGAGGCCTCCATCCGGTCTGCACCATGCAGACGAGCCGCCGCTGAATGAGACATTGGGAGCCACTGCTGCTGCCGGCCCTGGGCAATCCCATCCCCAGCACCAGAAGCACCAGCGCGAAGAGTCCCGGGTCTCCGAGGCCGATAACCTGGAGCGCCTCGAGGATTTTTATATTGGTCCGCATCTACGTGACAACATTGCCAGCCTGCGGGATTCGACCTTGACGTTATCCGACAACGATGACCCATATGATGCCCATCCCTCCTCCGCAGCAGAGTACCAGCAAACACTTGACAGCTCACACTCCAACGGGCTGGCCGTACCTGCCTACTTGTCACCTGGTAACCGCCTCAGTCAGCACTCAGCCTGGACTGACTTTTCCTTTGGAAGCGATGATCAGAATGCTGCTGCTCTAGATAATCAGGACCCGCGTGCATCACGGATATTCAAACAGCCAACGGAATCCGAGCTACCCGTGTCGTATAATAATAACTTTGCCAGGAATCGATCAAGCTTACGGCGTCCGCCACCACCAAGTCCGGAAATATCACCACTTGACAAGCCGCCACGAGCATCTTCATCCTCCATGCTGGCTGACAAGGTCGACCCGCGGCAATCGTCAGACCTTGATAGGGACAATTCCGCTGTCCAAAGGAGGATACCACTAGTGTCGCATCAGACAGCCCCTGTTCGCCCATCAGTAAATAACTATGATGATTTAGACGAGAGTACCTACGAAGTGCTCTCCCGGCCCAACAGTTATCCACATGTACAGGATGATGAGGAGTTTGGAACTGCCATCATCTCATCTCCACCATCAGCCGGCCTATTTTCTTTCGAGACAGTCGATCAGTCACAGCTTTCCCGTACCGAAAGCAAAAGCTTATCGTCGGAAGCCACAGATAACTTGACACAGGAGCAGAAACGACTCCGGCAGCGGCAGATGGTCATCCGCGAGCTGATTGATACCGAAGAGATCTTTGTTCGGGATATGAGCGTTGTGGAGGAAATTTACAAGGGTACGGCAGAGGCATGTCCTCAACTTGATTCCAAGACGATCAAGCTTATTTTCCGGAACACCGACGACATCATTGCCTTTCACGCTACCTTCCTTGCTCAGCTGAGGGATGGGGTCGCAAGTGTCTATCAACCCAAGGGGAGAAAGTCACCTACTTTTGCACATGAGGCGTCGTTAAAGGAAACGGACACGACCACTCTTGCGTCTACCAACTCCTCCGGCGGGGCCTCGAACAAGCCGGAATTGGATGATGATAAGGATCGCCAGACCAGCCTCGGACCTCTCTTCATCAAGAACATCGACCAGCTCAAGGCCGTCCACGAAGTCTATCTCCGAACCAGTGATCTTTCTGCCAAACGTCTGATTCAAATCCAGGAGGACGATGCCGTCAAGGTGTGGCTGAACGAGTGCAGCGAGGGTGCCAAGGAACTCACAGCAGCCTGGAGTTTGGATTCCCTTTTGATCAAGCCCATGCAGAGGTTGACCAAGTACCCCGATATCATTGCTCATCTTCTCAAGTACACCCCAGAAGATCATCCCGACCGGGATGCACTTGTCAGTGCCAAATCCACCGTGATCAGCGCCATTGATGAGATCAACAGGACCAAGAGGAACTTTGAGCTTGTCGGCCAGATTGTCGGCAACCGGAAGCGCAAGGAGTCGGACGTTCGAGCTGGTCTGGCCAGGGCCTTTGGCAAGCGTGTCGATAAGCTACAAGGAGCAAGCAATCGGGCACCAGAAGACGAAGAATATGCCAAACTTCATGAGCGATTCGGTGACGAGTTCCTCAGATTGCAGGTGGTGCTTCGCGATGTCGAGTTCTACACCCGAAGCGCCTCCACCTACGTCCACGAATTTCTTCAGTACGTAACCGCCATGGAGCTGGTTATGCGCCTGCAGCCATCGAGAGATTACGCCCACATCGAAAGCCGATGGGTCCAGTTTAGTGTCTCTATGAGGGACATGGAGAAAATCCTGGACAAACATCTAACCGACGTTCGCAAACAAGTTATCGAGCCGTTTGAGCAGGTCATCAAATGTTACCAAAATCCTGGTCTAGCCATCAAGAAGCGAGCCAAGCGCCGTCTCGACTACGAGCGCTACATGCAGCTCAAAGCCAACGGCAAGAAGATCGACAAGACGCTCGCCGAGGCCGTCGAACAGTACGAAGCCCTCGATGATACGCTCAAGAAGGAACTGCCCAAACTTTCTGCACTGACCGCCGAAATTGGTAGGATTTGTCTCGCCAAGTTCGTCGACATTCAAGCGGCATGGTACTCGACCTGGACAGAAAAAGTCAAGGCCCCCCTCGCCGACTTCGACCACACCCCCGACATTCCGGAAATCGTCCAGGTCTTCGATCGAGATTTCAAGGAGCAAGTCGAGCGGGCAAGACAGCTCGTCATTCTCAACCCTGTTTCGCTGAGAGGTAGGACCTCCCAGTCGACGTCGGATGACATTGGCTCCGGCTCCATTCTGACCAAGACTCGATCTCGTCCTACTGAGCTGCTCACCCCGAGAGGTCGTGGCCTGTCCATCAACAGCGATTATGTCCCGACCCTGCCGACTCCCGATCTGTCTGGAAGATTTGACCTTTCTCCTACCGGCACTGGTTCGGCGTTGCCTAGCCCGGGGCAGTATTATCGGGATTATTACTCCGGGTTGTTCAATGGCCATCACTCGAGGGGCAACTCGGCGGCTCCGCTCAGTCCGGCGGATCCCTCGTCGTCTTCGGCACCGAGGTCGGTACCTGCTACGCACGCTACTTCTACCACGGGTGGCTATTCCACTACTCGTCCTACAACTGGTCGTAGCTTCGACTCGGGCAGTCTGCCTCGTCAATCCACCGATTCTTACTCTGCTCAATCCGCCTCCGGCACTCACCACACCAGCCACGGCCATGGAGTCGCCCACTCAGGCCACACCCTCTCCCGTCGGGGATCCTACACCTCTTCCCACCACAACTACGCCACCAGCGAACCGCGTCGCCAATCCGGTCTCTTCCACTCTGCGCTACCAATGGACGACGCAGATGAAGTTGATGGGCACCCTGAACTGGAAGCTGGTCCCAGCAATTCTAACCATCATTATGAGATGCAAACTTCGAATGGTGGCGCAGGCATGTTCATCTCGGCGGAAGCTGCGGCCGAGGCCAATGTCATGTGGTTGGCTGCTAGTCTGTTTGAGTTCAATATTGAGACTACCAAGCATGAGGGCGGGTATCCTTATTTGACTTATCAAGCTGGGGAGGTACGTTATCATTCTTTTTTTTTTTTTTTTTTTTTTTTTTTTTTTTTTTTTTCTTCCCCCATCTCTTTCTGTGCTGGGATTTTGGGGAGTTGGATACCCGCTGCGCTCGGCCTTTTTTTTTTTTTTTTTTTTTTCTCATTTTGCTCGCTTCGCTCGAATTCACCCTCTCCCACTCGTACTCCTTCTCCCCTCTTCGCCTCGCTTAATATTTCCAAGAATCAAAACCAATGACTGACAAATACCGTGTTGCAACAGATCTTTGACGTAGTCGCCGAAAAGGGTGAGCTCTGGCTGGCCAAGAACCAAGATGATCCCACCAACGTCATCGGCTGGATCTGGAGCAAGCATTTCGCCAAGCTGGCGGAGTAGCAAGTCGCTGGTTTTGAGGTTATGATTGCTAATGCTCGGGGAAGGGCGGAGAGGGGGAGGACAAGTCGGGAGGATAGGAGGAGGACGGACGATACCTCCAGGGATCAATAAGGATAAGGATAAGGATAATGATGAATAAGGTCCAAGGAGAAGGGGGAAGGAAGGAGGAAGAGAAATGTGACTGACTAAGAAGAAGAAAGATGATTGATACCTAGGGATTATTCTGGCGGGTGGTTTTTTTTTTTTTTTTTTTTTTTTTTTGATTCTGCTTCTGCTTCTGCTTCGTCCACTACTGCTTGTCTAATAAGCGGGTGACAGTTCTTATTATTAGGTACCTACTTTTGGGCTCGAGTGCGCGAGCCAACCTTGTGTGTGCGCTCTTTTTTTTTTTTTTTTTTGACTTCTCTTCGACGGAGATATTCTTCTTTGCTTTCGGCAATTTTTTTTTTTATTTTTTTTTCTTATCATCAAGCCTGGCGTTTAGAGAGACATTGTTATTCACCAATTCCCCTTTTGTTTTCACTCATAAACTTGATAAGCACGAGCAATAAAAAAAAAAAAAAAGAAAAAAAAACAGGTTTCGGTATAAATTAAGGGACTAACAGACGGGTTTGGCGGAATGGATGGATGGACTAACTGTCAGGAGGCTAAGAGCCCGTGCATAGAAGCACCTTAGCGGCTGCTACTCCCCTTCGTCAACTGAAGCGTAGGATCATTTACAATAACGCCTACATCGGGTCGGGCTCGCGGGAAGGATAATCCGGCACCGCGCCGAGGCGCTAGACTAGTATAAGGCTCTATAATACTCGTTAGCGGATGAATAGAGTTTGTATAGGTATAAAAGAGGTTTAACAGAGCGTATTTCATTATAATCGGTAGCTATTAATATATCTTTAAATTAATCCCTAATTTACCGTCCCCTACGTACGGCTACAATTATAGTTACTTTAACCTACCTTTCGCCTATATTCCTAATAAATTGATAATTCTTCCTCCGGGAATTAAACTAATACTATTAAAATATATATACGTAGCGGTTAGTTTATCTTTCGTACCGTTAAGGCTATTCTTCGTCCCTTTCGTACTACTACCCCTATAATTATTATAATTAAGATAATCTAACCCCCTCCGCCCTTATTGTAATAATACTAGTCTACCGTGGAGTCCGTCGAAGAAGATAGTAACGAAAACTACCCCCTTATATTGCCCCGGGCTCCCCGTTCGTACCCTTAAACTTCGGAAGCCGATAAGTTCGTGCGTAAATAGTAATTATTCAAATTTTAATTCGCTATAATTAAGTTCCTCCTTAATTACCTCTCTTCGTATATATCCTAGTAGGAGTAGTTTACGTTTGTAAGCCTTATTAAATAAAATTTAGTAGGAAATTACCCCTCTATCTTTATTAGGTTCTATTATTAGAATTACCTCTTTTATAACTAAATTTGTATTTCTATTATATTTCCCTTTATTACCCCTTCGTCGGCGGCCGTTATTATAATTACCCCTTTACTAATTGTAGCTATATTAGTCTATATTAAATACTATTTTAAATATAATATTATTAAATTTACCGGCGAAAATTTCTTATAATTGCGGAACTACTTCTATAATATTAATATATACTTTTAGGAATACTCCTATATTTCCCTTTCGTTCGCTATTAATTATATTAAGGGTAATCCTAAGAATATATAAATTAAATATATATTAGTTCTTTATAGTAAACTTAATTATAATACTATTCGTAATACGCTTATATAGAGCGACCTCCGTACTTTCTTAGAGATTAAATATAATAGTAATATTTAGGCTATTAAATAATCCGTTCTCAATAAATTCGAATATATATAGTAAAATATTTTAGAAACCGTTTGTACCTTTTATAATCGCTATTATACTAAAGAATTCAATTTATTATACAATTAACCGGAATATACTTAGATTGTTATTTAAATTAATTAATTATACCCTCTCTTTAAATAAAGTATCCTCTCGACGGCTAGTATTAATATAATAAATAAAATAATAGTATATGCAAAACGGTTAGAAGGCCTAGAAAATATTAAACTGTCTATATCGTATTGTTAATACTAAGTATCTTTAGGGTATAATTTATTATTTTCTTTATTTTCGTACTTTCCTACCCCTTCTTCGAATATCCTTTTTTAATTATCTTGTAATAATAACCCTTCCGATTTTCCTTATTACCCCCCTATTACTTTTTAAATAAATTCTAATTTTATTTATTCCCTTTATTATTAGAAAAGCTATATATATAATTAGTGTACCTAATTGAAATTACCGAATATTTATTATAAATATAATATAATAGGCTATTTTATAGCGGCGTACCCGAACTGAGCCTATTACAATTACGATTAGGTCGGCTATTTAGTATGGAATTACCCTATCCTTGTAGGTGCCCCTTTATACGGAGTGAATGCTAAACTGATTGTAGTTAGAATAGTAATTATAATTGTTTAGGATAATATAGGTGGATTGTAAATATATTTAGAGACGAGGTTATTAATAAAGATTTATAGAGATTGGCGGAATATACGAAGGTTAATAGATTCGGGCGTGGAATTAAATTTAATTAGTAGGTATTTATTCCTATTGAATACGAAAATTAATTCGGTACCCTATTATTTTATTAATTTTTCCCTCCGGCTTATTCCTATATATAGTATAATTATTTATTTTATTAGAATATATAATTTTTATAGTATTAAATGGACGAAGTGAATTACGTTTATTATAATTAAATTCTTAATTATAGAAGTTATTTTTAGTTACTCCTAATTTTGTAAGTAGAATTCTAATATTAATTAGCGGTAATAGTCGTTTCAATTTCGTATTGAGGCTGGTAATTTCGTATTAAGTATAGTACTAGCGAAGGAAATATATAATATTATAACCGTCCTAATAGGGCTATAATAGGATTTAATTCTATTATTAGACTTTCGGGAAATAGTAAAGGTAAAAGAGGGTTTCCGCCCTCCCGTATATACGAATATCCTATTCGAAATCCCCTCTTCTTTAGCGTTAGAATTTATAACCCTATCTATTATAGTAGAGTCGGCCGAATTGCCTCTAGTCCTTACCCCCCCAGTAAAGGTTTTTCGAATAGTATTTAATAGTATTTACCCTACCCTAGTACTCCCTATAGAATTAGCGCCGCCGTAACCCTTAAAATTACTAAAGGGAATAGAAGGCGAGCCCGCTATCCCCGAATTAATTATTCCGCTGGAATATAAAGAATTCCAATCGGTATTTAAAGCTTCGGTTATACCCTTATTTTAATATAACCGGTTAAAATATTATATTAATTTAATCGAAGGGGAATTAGCGCTTTAGGGATTAATTTATATATTAAACGTTAAAGAATTAGAAGTATTATATAAATAATTAGCGGAAATACTTTAGAAGGGATAAATTCGTCCTTTTATTAATTTAATGGGCGTTTCTATTATCTTTATTCTAAAGAAGGGTAGAAAATTAAAGTTCTATATTGATTTTAGGGTATTAAATAAAGTTATAAAGAAGAATTAGATAGTGTTACCCTTTATTTAAGAAAGTTTAAATCGGTTATTATTAGCTAAAGTCTTTATAAAATTGGATTTAAAGGATGCGTATTATAGAATTCGGATTTAAAAGGGAGATAAAGAGAAGATGGTATTTCGTATAAAGTACAGGCACTATAAATTCTTAATTATACTGATAGGATTAGCGAATGTGCTAGCGATATTTTAAGTATACATTAATAATATATTAGCGGGGCTAATAGATATAATATATATTACTTACTTTAATAATATCCTAATTTATAGTAAAAACGAAGAAGACTACGTTAATTATATTAAGGAAGTCCTTTAATAGTTATAAGATTATAATTTCTATGTAAATTTAGGTAAATACGAATTTTATATAAAGCGAGTATCGTTCTTAGAATATATTGTTTCCTTAGAAAGTATAGTAATAGATTTAGAAAGGGTAGTAGCAATAGTAGAATAGGAGGTTCTAGCGAGCGTTTATAATATCTAGATCTTCTTAGGGTTTATAGGATTCTATCGATACTTTGTAATATTATATTCTAAAGTAATTATACCCCTAATAGAATTATTAAAGGGGGATAAATGGAGGCTATTCGAATTTATAAGGGAAGCGGAAGAAATATTCGTAGAATTTAAAAAACGGTTCTAGGAAACTCCTATATTATACTATTTCGATCTAATATTATAAATTCGAATAGAGACGGATATATTGGACTTTATAATTAGGGCGGTTCTTATATAACTATATAATAATAGATAGTACCCGGTAGTTTTCTTTTCGAAGAAGAAATCGTTAGAGGAAATTAGGTATAGGGTTAGGGATAGAGAACTATTAATAATTGTAGGAGCGTTAAAAGTATAGAAATAATATTTATTATATATAAATAAACTATTCCTAATAATTATAAATTATTTAAACCTATAGTATTTTTGAGAAAAGGAGCGGGCTAGTACAAAATAAAATCGGTAGGTATTAGAATTAATAGTATATAATTTTAGGATTAAATATCGTCCGAGAAAATTGAATCTAGTAAATAGGCTATTGAAGAAGCTGTAATTATAAAGAGAAGAATAGGAGGTAGGGGGCAATTACTTATTAATAAAAATTATTAAAGGGGGCGAAGAAAAGGGTTGGACGATAAAAGAAAGTTGGGTAGTAAGGGTGCTAGTAAAATGGATAATTTTAATTAGAAAAGAGATTTAGAGGACGGTAATAGAAGAGAGGGAATGGCGATAGAATATAAATGAAATAGAAGAGGGTTGGGCGTTAGAGGACGAAAGGGTCGAATTGTAGGAAGAAAAGTAGAATTTGTAAGGGGAGGGTAAATTAAGTAGGGAGGAAAAGAAGCGAAAGGGAATTGAAAGTAATAGTGGAAAGGATGGAATAATAAGGAAGAGGGTGAGGTTTATAGGCGAAGCTATTATTAAATTAGGGAGGGAAGACGAAAGTATTATTATAGGAAATATAGGTAGGTATATAGTAGTAGTAAAGGTGTAGAAGGATAAAGAGTAATTATTATTATTAGAATAGTAATTATTAGAAGTATAGAAGGAGGATTTATTTATTATTAAGGAAATATAGAAGAATAGCGAAGGGAGGAGATGGGTAAAAAATTAGAAGATAGGGGAAGACGGAATTCTATAATATTAATATTAAATCTATATTCTAGAACGG